CAAAGAGAATTCTTACCTGCCCTAGACTTTAGTATGAGCTAGGAAATTGAAGTGTTTCAGATGCAATATTAAGCAGTGTACATTTTAAAAAGTTATTAAGTGCTGGTTGGATTAAAAGCCAGGACTACTGGATGTCACCAAGGAGCAAAAAGGAGAGTCCCTGTACTAAGCAATGACCTGACATATCCCTGGAAAGTCTTACTCTTTGAGGCTGTAAATCTCACTCTTAAGGACAGCCAACCCTTGGCATCTCTGTGGGCACCACTGCCTGTATTAAGGCAAACCCCACATAGGGTTGCCAACTTTCTAATTCCAGAAAACCGACCGCCCTTGCCCTGCCCACTGCCTCGCCCCTTCCCTGAGGTCCCACCCTGCCCCTTCCTGAGGCCCCATCACCCGTTCACTCCGTCCGCCGTTCACTCCATTCCCCTCCCTCCGTCGCTTGCTCTCACCCACCCTCTCTCACATGCTCATTTTCACTGCAAGGCCCAAACAGGCATATTTATTGTTTTGACAGATGCATTATGCTAAGTTCTGGTTTTATTTGTTACAGGATGCTAGAGCTGGCAGCATTATTCATTATTTTATTCAAGCCTAATTTAATGGTGTCAAAAAGGGTAATTTTTTAAAAAAATGAAATTTCACAAAGGTTTTCATGATTCTTTCTCTCCCCTCTTCCCATTTTTTGTAACCAGCTCCATGTTTTATGTTCACTAAAGTTATTGTAATTTTATCTGTGGAATTAGGACCACACATTATCACAGCTGCAATGGGTCCATTAAAGCCCCACTCCTGAAGCCCAAATACAAATCCATAGAGCACAACCACAGAAACACACACCTGTCCAGACACCTATATAAATAAATCTGTAGAAACTGACACCCACACCAACATGCAGATACACACATGTATTCATGTGTACACATCTAGCATGCATTAACACATATACTTCTACATTATTTAATATTACAATTGTTGTTTAGTGCCTAGAGACCCCAACTAAGATCAGGGTTCCCGGGTGGTAGGTGCTGGACATACACATAAAAAGAGAAAGTCTGCAACAAAGAGTTTATAATGTAGCTAGACAAAGGTGGGGAGAAATGTGTGATACATTGGCTCTTCTAAAAAAAGAACAGGAGTACTTGTGGCACCTTAGAGACTAACAAATTTATTTGAGCATAAGCTTTCGTGGGCTACAGCCCACTTCATCGGATGCATGCAGTGGAAAATACAGTAGGACGATTTTATATACACAGAGAACATGAAACAATGGGTGTTACCATACACACTATAATGAGAGTGATCAGTTAAGGTGAGCTATTACCAGAAGGAAAGAAAAAAAACAAAAAAACAACCCCTTTTGTTGTGATAATCAAGATGGACCATTTCCAGCAGTTGACAAGAACAAGTGAGGAACAGTAGGGGGGGGAAATAAATATGGGGAAATTGTTTTACTTTGTGTAATGACACATCTACTCCCAGTCTTTATTCAAGCCTAATTTAATGGTGTCCAGTTTGCAAATTAATTCCAATTCAGCAGTCTCCCGTTGGAGTCTGTTTTTGAAGTTTTTTTGTTGTAATATTGCGACTTTTAGGTCTGTAATCGAGTGACCAGAGAGATTGAAGTGTTCTCCGACTGGTTTTTGAATGTTATAATGTTATAATTCTTGACGTCTGATTTGTGTCCATTTATTCTTTTGCATAGAGACTGTCCGGTTTGGCCAATGTACATGGCAGAGGGGCATTGCTGGCACATGATGGCATATATCACATTGGTAGATGTGCAGGTGAACGAGCCTCTGATAGTGTGGCTGATGTGATTAGGCCCTCTGATGGTGTCCCCTGAGTAGATATGTGGACACAGTTGGCAACGGGCTTTGTTGCAAGGATAGGTTCCTGGGTTAGTGTTTTTGTTGTGTGGTTTGTATTGATCCCAGAGTCAGAGCCAGCCTCCATCTGACCGTCCAATCAGGACCCTCTGTCAGTGCAACCCTTCCCCTCCCTCCATGCTACAGAAACTCCCTGATTCTCTCCCATGGCACAGCTCCCCACCAGCCTCCTCACCCCATGGAAAAGCAGAGAGTGACAGCTGAGGAGCGGCTGCTGCCTCTAACCAGTGCTGGCCTGAGAACCTGGGGCTGGAGTCTCTCCCCATAGGGCCGTTTCAGGAAACAGGAGATGGGTGGAGGGTCAGCCATGATAAAGGGGGGCATGGGTGACCCCGGGGGATGATCAGTGGCAGCCTTCGGAAGGGGTCCCCGCAGCACAGCGAGAGGGGAGCTCCTGGAGAGATGCCATCCTGCTGCTGCCTCTGGGGAGGTCGAAGGGAATCCTCCCCATGGCAGACGGAGCTGTTCTGCAGCTGATGAAGCAAACCTCATTAGGAAGAAAACCTTCCTCCTCCCCTGCTCTGCAGCCAGTACTGTTCTCAGTGCCCACATGACATAGAATGCCAGGAAGTGCTACTGCGCCAGCATCCCTGCCTGGAAGGAGACACACCAGATCCACTAGCAAGGGCTAGAAAAGGATCCGCTGGGGTTGCAGAGGAGACACAAAGCAGATGGAAAGGAGTACTTGTGGCACCTTAGAGACTAACCAATTTATTTGAGCATGAGCTTTCGTGAGCTACAGCTCACTTCATCAGATGTATACCGTGGAAACTGCAGCAGACTTTATATACACACAGAGAATATGAAACAATACCTCCTCCCACCCCACTGTCCTGCTGGTAATAGCTTATCTAAAGTGATCAACAGGTGGGCCATTTCCAGCACAAATCCAGGTTTTCTCACCCTCCACCCCCCCACACAAATTCACTCTCCTGCTGGTGCTAGCCCATCCAAAGTGACAACTCTTTACATAATCAAGTCGGGCTATTTCCTGCATAGATCCAGGTTTTCTCACATCCCCCCCACCCCCATACACACACAAACTCACTCTCCTGCTGGTAATAGCCCATCTAAACTGACCACTCTCCAAGTTTAAATCCAAGTTAAACCAGAACATCTGGGGGTGGGGGGGAGGAAAAAACAAGAGGAAACAGGCTACCTTGCATAATGACTTAGCCACTCCCAGTCTCTATTTAAGCCTAAATTAATAGTATCCAATTTGCAAATGAATTCCAATTCAGCAGTTTCTCGCTGGAGTCTGGATTTGAAGTTTTTTTGTTTTAAGATAGCGACCTTCATGTCTGTGATTGCGTGACCAGAGAGATTGAAGTGTTCTCCGACTGGTTTATGAATGTTATAATTCTTGACATCTGATTTGTGTCCATTTATTCTTTTACGTAGAGACTGTCCAGTTTGACCAATGTACATGGCAGAGGGGGCATTGCTGGCACATGATGGCATATATCACATTGGTGGATGTGCAGGTGAACGAGCCTCTGATAGTGTGGCTGATGTTATTAGGCCCTGTGATGGTGTCCCCTGAATAGATATGTGGGCACAATTGGCAACGGGCTTTGTTGCAAGGATAAGTTCCTGGGTTAGTGGTTCTGTTGTGTGGTATGTGGTTGTTGGTGAGTATTTGCTTCAGGTTGCGGGGCTGTCTGTAGGCAAGGACTGGCCTGTCTCCCAAGACTTGTGAGAGTGTTGGGTCATCCTTTAGGATAGGTTGTAGATCCTTAATAATGCGTTGGAGGGGTTTTAGTTGGGGGCTGAAGGTGACCGCTAGTGGCGTTCTGTTATTTTCTTTGTTAGGCCTGTCCTGTAGTAGGTAACTTCTGGGAACTCTTCTGGCTCTATCAATCTGTTTCTTTACTTCTGCAGGTGGGTATTGTAGTTGTAAGAAAGCTTGACAGAGATCTTGTAGGTGTTTGTCTCTGTCTGAGGGGTTGGAGCAAATGCGGTTGTATCGCAGAGCTTGGCTGTAGACGATGGATCGTGTGGTGTGGTCAGGGTGAAAGCTGGAGGCATGCAGGTAGGAATAGCGGTCAGTAGGTTTCCGGTATAGGGTGGTGTTTATGTGGCCATCGTTTATTAGCACTGTAGTGTCCAGGAAGTGGATCTCTTGTGTGGACTGGACCAGGCTGAGGTTGGTGGTGGGATGGAAATTGTTGAAATCATGGTGGAATTCCTCAAGGGCTTCTTTTCCATGGGTCCAGATGATGAAGATGTCATCAATATAGCACAAGTAGAGTAGGGGCTTTAGGGGACGAGAGCTGAGGAAGCGTTGTTCTAAATCAGCCATAAAAATGTTGGCATACTGTGGGGCCATGCGGGTACCCATAGCAGTGCCGCTGATCTGAAGGTATACATTGTCCCCAAATGGAGACACTCCTTGCTCCAGCCTGGGAAGGATTTTCTCCTAGCATCCAGGGGAGGGGAGGGGATTGGATCAGGGTGGTAGGGAGCGAGCCCTTAATGTTGCTTTGTGATGGCTCACCTTGGATTAGCAATGATTTCTGATCTAAGGCTTAAGAATTTCCCTTGGCCTGTTATTGAAAAGCTACGGTGCTGCTGTTTGGCATTTGACTGTCAGGTGTTTTGTCTTTATTTATGGTGCTGATGGGGCTTTGAAATCACCCAGAAGCCCTGCTGGCTAGCTACAAAACCTGTGTCTGAGTTTAGAAAGCAAGCAAGTAAAGACTGTATTCTGTTACCCCTCCAGCCTGCAAAGGCCCCCTGAAGGAGCTGGATTTCTCAGATTCAGAGTTGCTTGTAAATACTTGTTTCTTTTTTATGCAACATCTTGAAGTGTTCTTGGTATCTTTTTTCCCCTGCTGCTAAACAGCTTAGGTGTGCAGGATTTTTTACATTAACCTGCAGGTAAGAATGGCATTCACTTGCAAGATTCAAAGAATCAAGCAGGACTGTATGGCCGTGCTTTGAGCTAATTGGATGTTGATGTTTGTGGGGAGTGGGCTAATTGTTTGTTCAGTCTGAGGCACAAGGAACTGAATACTGCCCTGGGGACTCCCACCAGCCATTTTGCCAGCAGGGTGTGCAGTGGGAAGGAGTGGAGAGATTATTGCAAAGGTTTAGGAGGTAAACTGGATCATGTTCAGCCAGTTGGGATATCAAGCTCTTCCACTGGGGGACTTTGACCATTTCCAGCAATCCAGCATTGGATTCTATGGATCTCAGAAGAGCTTATTTTCCTTTGGGCATGTGCAAGACCCATGGGGCCAGATCCCGCATACGAAAGGTGAGTACAGGACAGGGGAGCAAGGTTTCCTTCTCTGCTGGCCCAAGCATCACCATTCACCTTGGTGGTTATAGCCCCTGCAAACACTGGCCTCTCTCACACCAGCCTTACGCAGGGTGCAGCTCCACGGCTGCCCTGGCGTTACTCCTGGCTTGTGCTGGGCAGAGCAGAATAAGGCCCTATGGATGTGTTATTTGGGGATTCAGGGGTTGGAAGAGTCCAAGATGGAGGCAGGCTGGAGGAGTCCAGGCTGGGGATCATCTCCTGTGGCCTTCCGTGAATGCTGTTAGGTGTATGGACATTCACTGATCATGAGCAAGAGACCCCAGGACAAATGCTGTACTGTGTTGTGCTGGTGTCAATCTGGAGTCGCTGCACTGACTTCAGTGGGTTGAGGCTGGTGTAACAGAGCAGAATGAGGTTGAGGCAGCCCCTTCTGTCTCTGGGGCAGCTTGCAGCTTATGGCGTTCCCCTCAAGGGCAATGCTGCTGAAGGACACCGGGGCACAGATTTGTGACTACAGTCGTTGGGTGGATCCATGAGTTGCCTACGAGATCCCAGCATTGCTTTCTGTGGTTTGCTGCAGGTGTGCCTTGAAACAAGGGAAAGGCCATGGGCCTGAGACCAAGCTATGGGTGATGCTGAGGGATCGGGGGAGCTGCTGCTCTCTCCAAATTCATTCCCTGCCCCTCTCTTTCTCTCCTACAGGTTCCTCCCAGGGCTGGCTGTCATGGATTTGCCATGGGATTGTAACGTCTTTGGCCTTCCTGATGATGGTCATCACCTTCCCCATCTCCTCATGGTTTGTCTTGAAAGTAAGTGGGAAATAATGCCTGGTCCTTACTCCTAAATACAGATGGTGGTGGGAGGGGGAGAGTTTGGGGAAAGGCAACGATGCCCTTTTCGCTGCTTGGAATGTCCTTAAGTAGCTGCATGGTCAATGCATTGTGTACTGCTGCAGCCTCTCTAGTGGGCACCTATGGCATAAAAGCCAACTGACGGGAGAGGCAGCATTATCTTCACCTTAGGCCATTCCCTTTGCGCTGCCAGTGAGACCCAGCTCTCCAGACTAGAGCCAACCCACCTGCTAGTCCATAGCGAGTGTAACATCAGTAGTTCCTGTAGCGCAAAGGCTGCCACTGGTGCAATGGTCCAGGTGTGAGTGCAAGAGGCTCTCCTGGGGGACTGGAAGGGCGGAGTGTCTTATTTTCTACTATTAAAATTTGTGTAAATGTATATTCAGGGTAAATGCAGCTGAAGGTTACTGGAAAGTTGCCAGTGCAGCCTGTGGCATCTCAAAGTTGGGGATCCCCTGATCATAGAATCATAGAATATCAGGGTTGGACGGGACCTCAGGAGGTCATCTAGTCCAACCCCCTGCTCAAAGCAGGACCAATCCCCAACTAAATCATCCCAGCCAGGGCTTTGTCAAGCCTGACCTTGAAAACTTCTAAGGAAGGAGACTCCACCACCTCCCTAGGTAACCCATTCCAGTGTTTCACCACCCTCCTCGTGAAAAAGTTTTTCCTAATGTCCAACCTAAACCTCCCCCACTGCAACTTGAGACCATTACTCCTTGTTCTGTCATCTGCTACCACTGAGAACAGTCTAGATCCATCCTCTTTGGAACCCCCTTTCAGATAGTTGAAAGCAGCTATCAAATCCCCCCTCATTCTTCTCTTCTGCAGACTAAACAATCCCAGTTCCCTCAGCCTCTCCTCATAAGTCATGTGCTACAGCCCCATGAGAGGTGCCATGTACCCTTGACTCCTGTTGACTCCAGTGGGAGTTGGAGGAGCGCAGCTTGCCTGTAGCGTGCATCATCTGGCCATGGGATTCTGCTCAGCTTACTGAGTATTGAGTTTACAACCAAACATCTGGGGTCACCTGCCAGAGAAGGGTATACCTCGCAGGTGGAGTCAAATGACTTACAGAGATCTCAGTAGTTTTTCATTTTATCCCAGTTGATATGAATATAATGAATCATGCCCAGATGCAGCAGAGCCCATGGTTGTCCTTGGGGACTGATCCCACAAGCTCCACACCAGAAGCACAAACCCTTACTGTTGGTGCAAAAGGATGAGCTCCATAGCTGTGTGGGGCTCTTATGTTTGCCAAGCCAACCACTAGAGGGAGCACTGTGCATTAAGCCCAGGCATTGTAGAGACAGAAAAAAGAACTTTTTTTTAAAGTGCCCAGTGTGTATTTTTCCTCCTGTCTATTTGGTTTAAATGTTTCCTTTCCAGATAGTCCCTGCTTACGAGCGAATGATTGTATTCTGCTTGGGCCGGATCCGAGCCCCCCAGGCTCCAGGCATGGTCCTGCTGTTGCCGTTCATAGATCACTGGCAACGAGTAGACTTGAGGACAAGAGCCTTTAACGTGCCACCGGGTAAGGTGAGCTACATCCATTTCTACGATTCTATGCGATTTGCTATGCGATGTGGCAGCTTCTCTGATGAGTCTGGTCATCCATTGCAACCCTCTTGAAGAGATCAGGGTAGAGACCTTTGCAAACTTTCCTAATGAAAGCCACATGCTGAATCTTGCATGCTTTGGGCTTTCATTCCAGTTGCAAAACTGTAGTACAGATTCACAAACCTTTTAGATGAACTGAGGCCAAATATCATGAGATCGCAGGCTAGGGTTTTCCTTCCGCACAGCCTGCCATGGGGTATGCTGAGCCAAGATTTTCAAAATTAACCAGTGGTTCTGGGTGCCTGAATTTGTGGGTGTCCAAGGTAAGTGACACCTGCTTTTCCAAAAGTGCTGAGCATCCACCTGTGAAAATCAGGTCCTTTTCAGGTATCTCCAGGTAGGCACCCACAATCACTACTCTTGTAGAATTTGGCTGTGGTTTAGACCAGCCCAACCTTGGGCGGGCGGGGGTGGGGGTTTGAGCCATGGATAAAAGACAAATGTAGACAGATGTCTCATTGACAAAAAATATTAGCTGCAAATCTGTGAGATCTGAAATTGAGATGATGTTGTTAATGTAACCCTTCTGCCACGTGGAACCAGCAGCAACCAGGGCCGGGTTCAATATCTAGGGTTTCCTTTCCATCGATGCAACACAGAACTGGCTTGAGCTCCCATCCCGTAACCTGGGAAAATTACACACCACCCTGGGCGCACCTGAGAGGCAATACTTCCCCACTCACAAGCACAGAGCTTGAGTGTCAATGAAAGGAGGGAAGTCACCCAACATTAATTAGGGAAAATGCCACAAGCGGGATTCATAATCATAAAACTGTGAGCAGGACACCCACCCCAGTGTGCGTGGGGCATTGCCTTCCGCCTCATGTTCTTGAGTTCTACAACCAAAAGTTCGTTTTCTGTGCCCCTCTCTGCTCCCTCACCATACCCCACTCACAGTGGCTGTCCTTGTTCAGAGAAGACCCAGAGTTCAGAGGTGCATCTGTGTGAGTTCAGTTCCCACCTGGGGAAGAAAGCACCATGTTTGCTCCACCATCTGAGCACTTGCTTTGGCTGGCCACCCCACCAGCCATGGTTCCTCTCCACTGGCTGTCCCACCAGTCGCTTGTTCTGCTCACTGCCTCACCAGCCACTTGTTCACCAGCCAACTATCAGTCACCTTCTGTTACCACCTGCTTCTCTGCTGTGACCTCTGCACATCAGTCTCTTAGTAATTTTCAGCTCTGTGCTGAACACAGTCCCCCCATAACTGATTTCAGCTCTGATTGAGCCTTTAAAATAACAAAGAGGCTCCTAATGAAGCCTGTTTAGCTCTTTCTTTTAACAGTACAGAAGAACAGGTTAAACCACTCTGGGGAGGACTCTTGGGGAGGGTTCACACCTCCTGGCTACAACACCTGTCCCCACTCCTCTTACTGTCACAGGGCTCTGGCATTTGAGCCCTGGCTTAACAAGGTCTGTTCAGCTGAGGGTGACCCCCTCATTTGGGACAGGTTAAGCACAGTTCTGCTCCCCTTTATTCATACAATAATGACAACATTGGTAACAGCATTTCACTACCCCTGCATTCAGTACTAAAATGATTTGTAACCCAACACCAGCCAAAGTTGATTACTTTGAGCAACACACCACTCTATCTGCTGGATATCTAAGCAAAGTAGGAGCAAATTGTATTTACATGAACACACCTAAAGTCTCTCCCGCTCCCAGCTAGCTGTCAGGGAAGAATTCATTTAGACCCTGCTTACATCAATAATAATAATCATGTTCTTTATGACAGTGCCTAAGGGCCAGCCAAGAATGGGGCCCCATTGTACAAGAACAGGACAATCACAGAGTACTAGATGGCCCCTGCATCTGCGATCTTACAATGTAGATAGACAAGACAGACACAGGGTGAGGGAGGGGGTAGAACTTGCCCCCCTCATTGGTGCTGGGTGATCCTGTGACGGCGTAGAGTCTGGACAAGCACCTTAAAGTTGATTCAGATACTCACCCAAAGCAGCAAAATTCATCCAGAAGGCTCACACTGACAGGTTGCCTGGTGAAATCTTGAGCACTTCCAGTGTCTGCTTGGGGTGGAAACTACACAAAAGGAGCCCTTAGCACAGTCTCTTGGTTGCGCTGGCATCTGGTTCCAGAAGGACCAAGAAGTGCCATCAGTAGGGCCCTACCAAATTCACGGTCCATTCTGGTCAATTTCACAGTCATAGGATTTTAAAAATCATAAATTTCATGATTTCAGTTATTTAAATCTGAAATTTCTCGGTGTTGTAATTGTTGGGGTCCTGACCCAAAAAGGAGTTCTGGGTGCTGGGTGTGGGGGGCGGGGGAGAGGTCAGAAGATTATTGTAGGGGGGCTTGCAGTACTGCTACCCTTACTTCTATGCTACTGCTGGCGATGGTGCTGCCTTCAGAGCTGGGCAGCTGGAGAGTGGTGGCTGCTGGCTGGAAGCCCAGCTCTGAAGGCAGAGCTGTCGCCAGCAGCAGCGCAGAAGTAAGGATGGCCTGGTATGGTATTGCCACCCTTACTTCTGTGCTGCTGCCTGCAGAGCTGGTCCCTCAGTCAACAGCGGCCATTCTCCAGCTGCCCAGCTCTGCAGGCAGCAGCGCAGAAGTAAGGAGGGCATGGTATGGTATTGCCATCCTTACTTCTGTGCTTCTGCTCACGGGGCACTGCCTTCAGAGCTGGGCACCTGCCCAACAGCTGCAGCTCTCCATCCGCCCAGCTCTGAAGGCAGTGCAGAAGTAAGGGTGGTAATACTGGGACCCCCCTAAAATAACCTTGTAACCCCCCTGCAACTCCATTTTGTGTCAGGACTCGCAATTTAAGAAACGCTGGCCTCCCCTTGAAATCTGTGAAATATAGGATAAAAGCACACAAAAGATCAGACTTCACGGCGGGAGACCAGATTTCATGGTCCGTGATGCGTCTTTCATGGCTGTGAATTTTGTAGGGCCCTAGCCATGATGCATGAAATGAAGGAGAAGGAGTTAACTTGTTTGGGTTTTTGTAACTCTATAAATAAGGTTTGATTTGAGATTTGTGGAGGAAGGTTTGTGGGGTTTTTGTGGGATTTTCCTACGTTTTGTTTTGCCTGTTTAAATGAATCAGGGATGTCTCACTGGTCAGGAATCAGAGTTTGGGGGATAGCAGTCCAGATCTTCCAAGGTATGTGGGCACCTAACTTCCATTGAATCAATAGCTTGGAGGATCTGGGCCCTTCTTGCTAAAGCTTCTGTGCACAGCTGACCACCAAGGATGGAGCCATGATTTCCATGGGGGCTGATATCCAGTTCCGGGTGTGGGATCCTGTGCTGTCTGTCATGATGGTGAAGGATCTGAATGCAGCCACCCGAATGATGGCCCAAAATGCCATGAACAAGACCCTGCTGAAGAAGAACCTGAGGGAGATCCAGACGGAGAAGCTGCGGATTGGGGACCAGCTCCTGGTGAGAGTTTGCTTATGACCTTGGGCCTTGCTCCTGCACTGTGACATGGGCAGTGCAGCACCCCATTGCAGTCTGTGCCTCACCAGCTGCAGGAAACCTTTCATGTGAAACAAGGACCTGGATCCCTAATTCTCTAGCTATGTAACACATGGAAATAATGACCAAGGAGGGAAACTATAGCTGCTTCACCCTGAATCTGCCCCCAAGAGACTATGTGGACTCTCAAGGTTTCACTGTGTCTCAGAGCCAGAGGTGTGTTGGAGTGTGCAGGAGGATAGGGTGGAGATGCAGCCCCTATGGGGCAGTCTGGGGTCCTTACACCTGCACAGGGGAGAGGCAGGCAGAATGCCTCAGGGGGAACCAAGCGAGGGGCTTCCAGGTGTAAGGGGGATAAGGCAGATACACAGAAGACAACCTCAGGACTACAAGGAGGGAATGGAGCATGCTCTGGGGGCCTCTCTATTTCCATGCAGCCTGCTCAGCCAGAGCTCAGAGTGGAAGGGGTCCTTTCCATGCTCCATTATAGTCTGTTGCTTTGCACTTACCCAGATCTGACTGGGATGTTTTTGGTTTTTGCTTTGCCAATTGTCTTTTAGCTTGAAATCAACGACATGACCAAGTCCTGGGGCCTGGAAGTGGATCGGGTTGAGCTGATTTTAGAGGCAGTGCTACAACCCTCCCAAGAGAGTCTGTCTGGACCTCTGACCATGACACCCCCGATCCTTGGGTTTGAAGGGCTACATAACACCATTCAGCAGCTGGCTACTCACTTCTTTAGCAACAGCGTGGCAGTGGCAGCAGCAGCTAGTCCTGAGACAGGTAACCAGCCTGGCTACGCCTTCCTCACCCACGCCTGCTACGTGCTCTGCTTTTATCCTCCGGGGGACAAAACAAGAAGTCTTTGCTTGGCTTTTAAACAGCCAGGATGTCTATAGGCATCAATGGATGAATCTGTCTCTCAGATCCCGAGTGGGACAGACCATGTCTCTGGTGGCAAAGTTTTGCCAGAAGTGACCATAGAGCAGCAGCTGAGAGTCGTGGCAACCTCCCATTGTGAGAGGAGGGAGATAATTGGTATCTTGGATGCTGGTGTGCAGTGAGTGTTGCCAAATCTCTCTTTCATGGTCACCAGGACAGGAAGAAGAGATTAAATAAGGACTGTATATTTAGGTACTTCTCAGACCCTTGCCCTAGTATATGGGCACCTCACAATCTATTGTATTTAGCCGCACAGCCCCCATGAGAGGTAGGGCAGTGCTATTATCTCCAGTATATAGAGGCACAGACAGGTTAAGGGACTTGCCCAAACTCACACAGGAACTAGTGGCAAAGCAGGGGATTGAAGCTGGGTCTTCTTAGTCCCAGACTAGTACCCTAACCACTGGATCATCCTAACTCTCAGAACAGGACTCACAATACCTCTTTTCTCTGTTTTTATGTTGTAGTGGGTTAATATAATACCCAGATATGATGCGGGTTCGTGTGCTATACATGTGGCTGATAGAGGTTGGATGGACAGGAAGGACTAGGGGACTCCTTTCTGACCGCTCATCAGAGCTTTACTGGACAGTGGCTTGTGGTTCCCTGCCACTCCTGCGCTGACAGCTAACTTCATCTCAATCAGCCTGGCGCCCCCAAACCCATCTTGACACCTTTGTCCCCAGCAGACAGCGTGGTGACAGTGAATGAGGGAGAACAACCAGCTCCTACCATCACCACCACCAGTAGCAGCAGCAGCAGGAGGAAACCTAGCCCTGAGGAGTTGCTGTCAGCTCTGGAGCTGTTCTTGTCTGAGTTCTTGGTTGGCTCAGTCAGAGCTTCCTACCAGCTCAACATCATACTTCCGAGTGGTGCGCGGAGAACCTACTTCATAGATCTCACTGCAGGTCACTGCCATTTATTCTCCCTGTGTTTGGGAGGCACTTTGGTGGGTGAGGACTTTGAGCTGTGTTGTGTGTGGGTGCAGGCATGTGCATGGTCTTTATACCCCACACACAGAGCTGAACTCATTAGTAGAGTTGGTTGGAAAATGTGGAGTGGGGGGGAATTCCATGGAAAAATTCAACTTTTCAGTGAATAATTGAAATATTTTGGTTCTGAAATCGTGCTACTTGGGAGTTGTAGTTTGGCAGGGAGGTGATATCACCAACCCCAGTCCCCTCTCTTACACAGGCTCCTGGTAGGATTCGTTCTCTACTAAGGCGTGTAGCATCGCATGGGTCAGCCAGAACTCACAACCAGAACAGCCTGGATATAATCAAGGAAGCTCCCTGCTCTGCTGTCTAAACAGAAACAGGACGCTGAGCAGGACATGGGACTAGAAGGAATCCAGGTTGCAAGGGGTGGTGATATCTCTCTCTCCTAGGCTCCAGAAGATGAACCTGACCAGGCTCAGAGACTGTGTCAGGGGCCTGGGCACTGGCAGTCCAGCTCAGTGGTTACAACTGGGCTGAGGGGGCAAAAGGTCAGAGCCCGAGTCAGGAGCCAGGAAGGGGACATGGGCTGGAGCACAAACCATCACAGCTGCGGGCCCAGCATTGAGCAGCCAGCGACCTGCTGCTGAGCTTAAAAACAGGCCCACTAACTCTCTTCAGGCACCCCTAGCAGAACCCATCAATCAGCCTGGAGAGTACTCAAGCCCAGTAGGAGGTGCCTGGTCCTGACACCTTGCTGTGAGGACTTTTAGCTGAGGAGTTGTGAGCCAGGGTCTGAGGTGAGAGCTTATTAAAGGAAGCAAATTTACTCTGTTTAGCTTGTTTTTTGGCTTGCACTTGTTCAGATCCTTTATGGGGAACATTTTGACACCAAATGGGGAATATAAGGTAGGGCTAACCTGCAGTGTCACATCCAGCCACAAAAGGGTGCACAGGGATGGCACATAGCTTTACATTTCCCATGATACCACACTGTTCCATGACCATGCCTTGCATGGCCATGGTGCATCATGGGAGATGAAGTCCAGGCTGGCTGGCACAGGAAGAATAGGCTCATGAAGCGCCCGAACTACAACTCCTATCAGGCACTGCGGCAGCATTTCCAAATAGAAGTATTTTGGTTTTGCAGCTGAAAATGTTCCAGTTTTTCGGCATTTGGTGGTTCAACAAAAAGTCAGTTCTCTGTGGAGAGCAAAAACCCAATATTCCTTCAAAAAAACCATTTAGATGGAAAATTTTACAAACAGAAATATGTCTCCTGCCCATCTGCATAATGAGCAATTACTGTGGTGTGGGATTGCTGGTTGTTGTCCACCTCTAGCCCAAGGTGGCAGGAAGACACTCCCCTCCAATGGCAGCTTGGCCTAAAGCACATTGTCTGGGTGATCTCCACTTCCTAGCTGATGGGCAGCCACGTTGCTCAGTAACCCACCATCATCCTAGACATTAACTGGCACCTTTATTGGTGCCCTCAGCAGAGAGGGCGTGGAGGAGGATATCCCTTCCCATCTGGGATGCTGCTGGAGCACTGTAGGGAGAAGCTTGCCCTGCTGCTGGAGGGAGGGGATTGTCTCCTTTCACCAGTGCTAAATTCACTTCATTAAACAAAACAACCACAAAGGGCCTCTGACTTCCCCAAGGTGTTAGATGTGAAACCCTGGTACTGATCCCCCCTTTCTCTCTCCCTCCCATATATCCATGCCCTACAGGCAGTGGGCGAATTGGCCATGGGGACCCTGAGTGCAACCCTGATGTGATTCTGGAGATGATGGAAAATGACCTGCAGGCTTTCTTCTCAGGTGAACTTCACCCTCTGAGTGCCTACATGAGCGGGAGGTTGCGTGTCAAGGGTTACCTGAGCGTTGCCCTGAAACTAGAGGAGCTCTTCAAGGCAATGAAACAACGTAGATAAAGAGAGAATGTGTGTGTGCATGCGCACATGCATGTGTGCGTGTGTGAGAAGGCAGGAGAATTGAAGAATCTGGCAGGAGAACCATCTAATTGTGAAGGGAGTGAGGACTCAAGCTTTTCTATTCTCTGTTTCATGCACTGGGGATATTGATCATTGCACAGAGGAGAAAGAAGACAAATCCCCTCTGTGACGGGATCCCTCAGGTGCAGCCTAGGACTGTGGGACCGCTGTGCCCCCTTAACTCTCCAGCCTGGTCTGTCTCTCACAATGCTTTGCTAATGACAAGCAGCAAACCCCTCCAGGCGCTGTGATCACTCAGCACAACCACATGTGGAGCCCCACACCCAGCTAAATTGCATGAATGCTCCCAGAGCCACTCATGAATTGCAGAGAAAGGCACCAGCCAAATCCCCCCAGCTCCCAGCACTGTACCTCAGGAATATACCATCTTGCACTGCTGAAGACAAGCTGTGCAAGTTTATTAATTGGTTTGCCACTTCATCAATGGAAAGTGGATATACACCAGCCTTTGCAAACCTGAGCAGATTTACCAAACACTTCAAGCAAATTCACTGGTAAAGATAAACAGTAAAAGAAGTTTATTGACTAAAAAAGATATATTTTAAGGGGTAAGCAAAAAGTCAGAGTTAGTTACCAAAAGAAAAGAAAATATAAGCACACAGCCTAAACTCTCAATCCTATTAGACTGGGAAACATCTAGATTAAGCAGTTTTTCTCACCCCACTGGATATTGCAGTTCATAGTACACAGGTTTCACCCTTGAAACCTGGGCTAGTCTCCTCTGTTGGCGTCTTCAGTCTTCTCCTTACTGCTTGCGGCATAGGTGGGGGAAAAAGAAAAGGCCAAGCATGTGGCTGTGTTCTGTTTTATGCCCTTAGTCCATATGCTTGGAGAACACAAGTCCAGGCATGTCTGGTGGGCATTGCTGAGTCACCACTTGGCAAGGTTAAGCAATTCCACTGGTATGGCCTTATACAGGTGAGTCATTGCATTGTAGCTCCTTTGCTGGACAATGGTGGTTGATGGTTGTTCAACACTTACCTGGGCATTGGTTATCCCCCTAGTTATTGTCTCTGGAGAGCTAGTATCTGGGTGCTTCCCAAACCCACAGCATATTTTAGTGACAACCATACAACACAATTCTCATAACTTCATATGCACCAATTATATATATATATATTGAGATGGAACAGTGGGTTTCAGCAGATCTTAACTTTTCCCATGCTACCTTACATGGCATGCATTATATGCAATATCACAATTATATACAAAATGATTAATATGTGGGTTACAGGGCGCTCCCCTGGGCTGTAGAGTGTCACACCCTCCAAACACGAGTGCCCTGGGGGAGTGCAGAATGATAGTGCGAGAGGCCACACTGAGAACCCAGCAATGCTAAACCCAGGGTTGTGAATTCAACCCTTGAGGGGGCCATTTAGGGATCTGGGGCAAAAATTGGGAATTGGTCCTGCTTTGAGCAGGGGGTTGGACTAGATGACCTCCTGAGGTCACTTCCAATCCTGAGATTCTATGATTCTATGAAAATCCACTTGGCACAAAGCTCTGATGGTGGGGGTTGGGTACCAATGGGTCAGGTCTAAGCAAACTTCCGAAGGGAAGTGGTGAATTCTGCAGGTCTCAGTACCATCAGAACAAGCCTGGAAGCCTTCCTGAAAGATGTGGCTTAGCCAAGCACAAATTGTTGGGATCAGCACAGGCGTACCTAGGTGAATTCTCTGGCCTGTGCTATGCAGGAGGTCTAATGGTCTCTTCTGGGCTTACAATCTATGACTCATCTCAAGAAGAGGAAAAACATCAGGTGAAAGGCTTGATGCACAGCTGGGTTTCAACCCACGCTTTTGTTTTTGTGGGTGCACAGAACCTCCCACCCCCACCCCGCCAATTGGAATTTGTGTTACTCCCTAATTGAAGTCCACAGGAGTTTCATGTTGTCATAACCATACAGCTAAGGGTAGCTTAGAATTCCTCCTTACCTGTAAGGGGTTAAGAAGCTCAAATAACCTTGTTGGCACCTGACCAAAAAGACCAATGGGGAAAGACGATACTTTCAAATCTTGGGCCAGGGGGAAGGCTTTGTTTTGTGTGTTTTCTTGGGCAGCAGAGAAGCATGAGGTCAGAAAATTCCTTCTCCTATAAACCATCCTAAATGTCTCTCATGTTACAAAAATTGTAAGTAAAAGCGAGGCAAGGCGTGTTCGATTATCTTTTGTTTTGCTTGTGAATTTTTCCTTTGCTGGAGGGAAGTTTTTTCCTGTTTTTTGTAACTTTGAAACTAAGCCTAGAGGAAGTTCTGCTGTGTTTTTGAATCTTTTGTTACCCTGTAAAGTTATTTTCCATCCTGATTTTACAGAGGTAAGTTTTACCTTTTTTTAAAATAAAATCCTTCTTTTAAGAACCTGACTGATTTCTCTATTGTCCTAAGACCCAGGGGTTTGGGTCTATGATCACTTTGTAACTAATTGGTTAGGATATTATTCTCTAGCCTCCCTAGGAAAGGGGGTGTAAGGGATCAGGGGGATATTTTGGGGGAATAGGAACTCCAAGTGGTCCTTTCCCTGATTCTTTGTTAAATCACTTGGTGATAGCAGCATACCCTCCAAGGGCAAAGAATTTGTGCCTTGGCGAAGTTTTAACCTAAGCTGGTAGAAATAAGCTTAGGGGAGTCTTTCATGTGTGTCCCTACATCTGTACCCTAGAGTTCAGAGTGGGGAGGGAATCCTGACACATTTCCCCTGAATGGGGACATTTGGGCAACTAAACCCTTAAAATCCCATCCATCTTGCTGGGCATCTTGCCCTGTCGGGTGAATCTCATTGAGTGGCATTGGGTTCCTGTCAACAAAAAATAAACCACTCCCTTCCAGCAGGAGAGGTAGAATTGCAGTGCTCCAGCACTGCAGCTAGTTATCTAATGACTTGCTTGGTGGTGCAAAGGGATGTTTAGGTCTTGTCCACATGGAACATTACTGCAGGGCATGGCAAGGTGTGACTCTACAGCACATTAGCTTGCCACAGTGCAGCATCCCTGTGTGGACACTGCTACAGCACATTAAAAGTCCCAAAATGTGCGTAGATTCACACCCTGGTTTGCCATGTAGTAACTTCCACATAGACAAGCCCTGTTCTCTGTTGATTTTTGCACCCACGATTTGCAAGTGAAAAATTGTGCCTGTGAAAACAAAGGCATTTCTCAAACTTTGGGCCACAGAATTTATAGAGGAGGGATGAGAGAAGGAGTTTTCGGGAATGTCCTAGACTAAGGATCCCTAGAAGTTCTTGAACTTCCATGCACAAGTGGTTAGAATTCAGTGGTTGGTCTAATTTGTGCTTCAAAGTGATTTGAATACTTTTGATTAGCTATATATGTGGGTGTGTATATGTACATATCTTTATTTTGTAAGTTCCTCTGTATTTATTCTTGATCTACAATAAACATGTTACATGTAACTAGCTATCTGACTGTAGTGGTCTGATCATTTGTATACATTAAGAGGATAAAGCACTGGGCTGGGACTCAGGAGATCTGGGTTTTACTTCTGGCTCTGCCACTGACTTGCAGGTGTCCTTGGGCAAATCACTTTGCCTCTCTGCCCCAGTTTTCCCATCTGTAAAATAGGGATAGTGATATTGCCCTCCTTTGTGAAGTGCTTTGAGATCTATGGGTGAAATGCGCTACATGAGAGCTAGGGATTGCTAATGAACACTTTTTGTGGTATCTGTAGCTACGTAACTTTGGTGTACTGCAGCTTTAAATTTCTCTAGCTCTGCTGTCTGCCAGGATGCATTGCAGAGCTCATGCAGCATGCTGAAAGGGGGGGATCCCCACTCTCTCTCTGCACACTTTCTAAGGGAACAATCGTTTGTTTTTTGTTGTTTCCTGTGATCTAAAATAAATGTTCAGCTTGAAAATATGGAGACTACAAAGATCTGCCAGGTACATCTTGTGAGGTGCTGATCCCTGCCTCTGCATGTGCTTTGAGATTGTAGGGTCTAGGATGATGGGGCCCAGCGTGGTTGACCTCTGGGCACTTATACAGTAGAAATGTTTATTAATAATTAATGTGCTGTACACCAAGGATAGATGAGTCCATTTTCCTGGCACCAAATCCTTTTAAAAGATACAGGAAGATGAGGACTTGCCCTACCATGCAACTCTGAGACATCCTCAAGAGCAAGCTAGGCCTGCAGCAGAACTCTCAGCTGGCAGCTGACACAGCTATAAGCCCCCTGGTTCCATACCAGTGTCACAGCCAGGGGTGAGGTGAAAGCGACAAAGGAAACACACTCACCACTCCTATAGAGCATGTCTTGCTCTAGTCTATGGTGTGAGTATATCCTGGGCAGGGCTGGCAGGTTCCCTAGCCAGGAACCTGATTGTTGCCTTAAGCACCAATCTTTGAGCAGCACAAAACCATCAGGGGCAAACTCTATAATCCTTAGTCAAGCAAAGTGCCCAGTGCCTTGATTAGGAATTTTGCTATATAAGGAAGGTGCACTTTGGCCCACAACAATTAATTACATGGCTGCAATAAACAAGGAGCTGTTTACTGGTGCTTTCGGGCCTGGTCTCCTATAATCCCTTCTGCTGGCCCCGCTCTCTGTAAATAACCATCTTGTCCTGAAACAAGCTTTAGATTTCTTTTAAATAGCAGGCTGGTCCCCCACTGTGGCTGAAAGCAAAACTGCAATAGAGTAAGGAATTTATTCCCCGCCCGCCCCTTGGGCCAAGATATGCCAGTGTTAATCAGGAGTAACCCACAAATGTCGACAGAGCTGGTGTGATAACATTGGTGTAACAGATCAGGAATCTGGCCCAGTGAGACAAAAGACCTAGCTTTGCTCCTGAGCCATGTGCTAAGGGGAGGGGAGGATTTCATTGGCACCCATGGCAGCATTAGGCACCCAGCACAGCTGTTATTGTGTGGTGAATCCCCTGCATGTTACACTGTGATTGAACCCATCAGTGGGTGGGCCTCAGCGCCTGCCCCTTGTCACACATCTTCAGTGTCCCTGCTAGCAGCCATGAAATGATGATGGATGTTTGCATCTTAGGTGATCTCTTGTATGGTGCTTATGAGTCACAGGAGATGAAGCAGAAACAGAAGGGGTCCAAAGATGCCACAGAAATAAACAGTGTCCTGAAAGACACATCAGCCCCTTTGTATCATTCCAACTGCACACAGGGCTTTAGCTTGTTCTATCCCACCTCCTTCAAGCCCCTCCCACCCCGCCCCACCTGCAGAGAAGACATGTTGGGGTGTGACTGGAACACTGCTGCCGTCTGACCATCTGGTGCAGTGGCCCCTTGGGGGCTTCTGCAGGGGGGTGCTGCAATCAGGTGTAGTGGAATCAGTCCGCATTAGCAGCTGTCCCTGCCCACTCACAGCCATGCAAGGAGTGAGTGCTGCAGGCAGCTTGCCCAGCAGCACCTCCCCTGTCTGCCAATGGGGGCCTGGAGCAGAAGTGGGGCAGTGAATTAGGCCCCTTAACTGTAAGTTACAGTCTTTTCTGAAAAAGAAAAGGAGTACTTGTGGCACCTTAGAGACTAACCAATTTATTTGAGCATAAGCTTTCGTGAGCTACAGCTCACTTCATCGGAAGTGAGCTGTAGCTCACGAAAGCTCATGCTCAAATAAATTGGTTAGTCTCTAAGGTGCCACAAGTACTCCTTTTCTTTTTGCGAATACAGACTAACACGACTGTTACTCTGAAACCAATCTTTTCTGAGAGGCTCAACCGCAAATGCTGATCTATGCACCCTGGAGCTTGGGAAGCTCAGGCCTTGATCCAGACCCAGCATGCATGGCCTCAGGCACATTATTTCCCTGAGAGGGCCAGGTGTTCTCAGAATTTCTCTCCTGCCCTGGCAAGATAAATAATGTGTCAAAGCAGCAAATGATCACCAGAGGGCAGGGCAGGAGGCGGCTGCATAGGGAAAGGGACTCACTACAGGCCAGAAACAGGAAGAGAGGTTATTTTCTCTTCTCAGAAATCGAAACTTACCAGCCAGAACCTGCTGAAGCAATTACTCAGCAGAGGAGTGTCCAGATCCCACAGATACAGTTCTGATAGAGGCAGGGCCTCATGGACTATGGCTCTCTTGTCCCAGGGGACCCCAGGCAGCCTGCAGACACAGGTGAGCTTATTGCGATGGCCGGATCTTCTTCCTGAGGGACTGGCTCGGGTGTTTAGTGATTGAGGCATTCTGATACATGCAAAAGGAAAATGAGGAGCAGCAAGATGTGTAGAAGCCCAGGAGATGCCTGAGGATCTCCCACCTCCCCATGGCAGGTGGTGCTGTGTCCAGCGCACATGGGAGATTAGCATGATGACAGTGACCATGCAGCAGGGGAAGTGGCTGGGCAAAGGGGGAATAGGGCATCAAAGGGGGAACGGGAAGTGAGAGACAACTGGCAGTGGGGAGGGTCTCACAGCTCGGTGGAATCTCCTGCTTGCCACTGAGGATGGCTGCCAGTTACCTAGCTCCACCTGGGACTTTTATGGGCTGCTTCTTCAGCATGCTCTTCTGGAGAGGCAGGGTGGCCCAGTGGTTTGAGTGCTAGCCTGTGTATCAGGAGACTTGAGTTCTATTCCGGGTCTCTATTCCTGGGGTTTCTCACAGGTTCCCCATGTGACCTTGGCAAGTCACTCAGGCCCAGATCCTCAAACGTAGGAAGGTGCCTAACTCCCATTGATTCTAGGGGGAGTTCAGAGCCTATTTGAGGATCTGTGCCACAGTTTTCCATCTGTAGAATGGGCATAACTGATCCCCACCTCACCATTGTAAGTGTGAGTGCCTCAATGGTTGTGAGGAATTGTGATAACAGGAGTGCAATAAGTACCTTAGAGAGATGGAACAAGGCTGAGTAGATGCATCTACAATGGGGGAGGGAGCTTCAGCCCAGAGTCACTAAGCAGTACTCCCTCTTAGCCCTGCCAGAAGAGAGACAGCTTGGGAGGGCAGGGGGTGAGAGAGAAGGGGGGGAGAGACAGATGTAGGGGTGAGAGGGGTTTCTTGTGATGATACCCAGCTGAGAAAGTGAAAGGTGCTTTTCCTCTGTTTCCTCCATGCCATGACCCCTATGCTGAGGCTGGGATGGGGGTGGCATGGGGTCACACCCCTAATAGCATGCGACTTGCTCTGTGTCACCAGAGCAGCAATGGGAAAGCACTCTTAATGGGGTTCAGGACCTGGCCCATCAAGTTGCCTGCATACAGCATGTGTTGCCTCCCTTGCTGGGCTGCAGAACAGAGCTGTACAGCATTAGTAACCCTGGGCCTCAATCTCTCTCCTTTCCAAAGGCAATGGAGGAAGAATTCCAGTTCCTGCTCTGCCAGGGATGCCGGAAAGAACCCAGAAATCCTAAGCTCCTGTCCTGCCTTCACACCCTGTGCTCCAACTGCCTGGAAGAGAACAAGCCTGTTGGCCAGTGCCCCGTCTGCCATGCTCCCATCCCACAAGCCAGTGGGATCCCAGACCAGGACAACCTGCTCTTCGCCAATCTGCAGGCCAAGCTGAGCACCTACCAGAAGATCGTCAAAGGCAGTGACCTGGTCTGTGACAACTGTGGGCAAGAGGGAGAGTTCTGGTGCTCTGACTGTGAGGAGTTCCTTTGTGTCAAGTGCTTTGAGACCCATCAGAGGTATCTAAAGCGAGAGAGCCATGAGGCCAAGGCAGTGAGGGATCTCAAGGTGGGATCTGCCAGGGAGTTCCTTGGTGGTTCCAGGAAGCTCAGTAACTTGTCCTGTCCCAATCCAACCCATGCGAACCAGATGCTGAGGTAATGTTCACAACCTGATCTGTTTTCCATGCAGTTGCACCCAGAGTCTCTTTCCAGGTCCAGCTTTCTTTTTCACATGTGGGCAAACCACCAAAACAGTTCCTCAGCCCAGCCTGGGCTCCAGCTCCCAGCCCCATGCCTCGTTCAGTCCTTCCTGCTTCAGGGCCTGTTGCAGGATTCTTCTGTCCGCTCTTAGCTGAACACCATCTCTCAGGGCTCTTGCCCCGGAGGCTCCCGTTCCCCAGCAGGTTCCCACTGCCTCCCCTCCAGGGAACTCGCTCTGCTACTACTCCCCCTTCCCTCCTGACAGCCTGGCTCTTCACAGCCCCAGCTGCTCCCCTGCCCTCTTAGCTGGCCAAGCTGGGAGTACCTGTTCTAGCACAGGGGCACTGGATCTGCATCATTTAAAGGGGCCCACCACCCTGTGGCAGGCGCTGTTGTGTGATAAATCATATTGGGCCAGCTGGCATCAATGGGCCTCATCTCTTTAACTGCAGTGATTTACCCCAGCTGTGATCTGGCCCATTTTCTTTAGCAGGCAGATGCAGATTGGCAAAGAGGAAGCTGGAGGGAGGAATGAGAATGTCAGCGCAGAGCTGTTCAGTCATAGGAGGGAGAGGTGGCTGGGAATCAGGCAGGCTCTGTCCTAGTCAAGGATATTGCTGGAGGAGTGTATTGTGGGAAGAGAAGGGTTGCTCTGCCTGGGGAATGATCTGAACTCCCCAGCAGGGAGCAGTATAAGGAGGGAAGAAATGAAGGCCTATAACTGAACAGTTAATTGAAACCCAGCACAGCCAGACATCCCAAGTCACTCACTGCCGGGTGTAATGGCTCTACTCTTCGATATCGTTGGCCACTTTCCCATACTCCCCTTAGGCAAAGGAGGACTGGCTATGGGAAGGGTGTGATAAGGCCACCAGCAGAATGGGGTAAGAGTCCTCTAAATGACTGTTCTGAATTGTATTTTCATCAATAGCATCTACTGCAGAGAGTGCCAAAAACCGATCTGCTGCATCTGTGCTCTGCTGGACAGCCGGCACATGGGCAAGCACTGTGATATCAAGGTGGAAATCCAGCAGAGGCAGCAGGAGTTGGGGAGCATGAGTGAAGAGCTGAAGAAGAAGGAGGAAATCTTCCAAGATGCCTATAGTAACCTGAAGAGCAAAGCTGACCACCTGGACCAAGTGACGACTGAAACCCAGGAGCTGATCCGAAAGAGAGTCAAGCAGATGGTTCAGCTGATCGGAGAGAAGGAGCAGGAGCTGCTGGAGATGGCAGAGAGGCAGCACCACCTGGGGAACAAGGAGCTGGAGGGGAAGCTGCAGCAGACAGAAGCCGTGCTCAAAAGGATGGGGGCCAGTGAGCAGCTAGTGGAGAAGATGCATCTCTACGCGTCAGACCAGGAGGTGATGGACCTGCACCCCTTCATCAAGGGGTCACTGGAGGAGCTCAGGAAGCTGCAGCCCCTGGCTGTGGGAGTCAGTGTCCAGGCTGGAGGCTTCGCCAAGTGTAAAGCCAGACTCCAGGCTCTGTTTGAAAGAGTGACGGGGGACAGAGGTAAGACGCTTTCACAAACTTGACTTGATCCTGCTTTGAGCAGGGGGTTGGACTAGATGACCTCCTGAGGTCCCTTCCAACCCTGATATTCTATGATTCTATGACACGTCTCTGAGGTGGTGGTTGTAGACATGGTACCATCATTATCTCTGGCTGCCGCCAGCATGGAATGGAGTGGGGCTGGTGAACCTTTCACTTGTGACTGCATAATGGAGCTTTTGATTGCTCTTTTAGTGTTGCAAGTTGGGTCAGTCTGAAGAGTGAGGATGGAGAATATTGCCTCAGGGGTGGTGTGTGTACAGGTGAGACAAAATAGAAGATGAGCATCAATTCTAGAGCCTGTCTGGGAAATGCCCTGGCCTGTGTTATGCAGGTGACCAGACTAGATGGTCATCATGGTCTCTTCTGGCCTATGAATTAGTAATCACTAGGGCTGGCAATTAATCACAGTTAACTCACATGATTAATGCAGAAAAAATTAATTGTGATTTAAAAAAATTAATCTTGATTAATTGCACTGTTAAACAGTAGAATACCAATTTAAATTTATTGAATATTTTTGCATGTTTTTCTACATTTTCAAATATATTCATTTCTTTTACAATACAGAATACAGTGTACGGTGCTCACTTTATATTATTTTTATTACAAATATTTTCACTGTAAAAATGATAAAAGAAATAGTATTTTTTCAGCTCACCTCATATAAGTACTGTAATGCAATATCTTTATCGTGAAGTGTAATTTACAAATGTAGATTTTTCTTTTGTTACATAACTGCACTCAAAAGCAAAACAATGTAAAACTTTAGAGCCTACAAGTCCACTCAGTCCTAATTCTTGTTCAGCAAATCGCTAAGACAAACAAGTTTGTTTACATTTATGAGAGATACTGCTGCCTGCTTCTGATTTACAATGTCACCTGAAAATGAGAACAGGCGTTCGCATGGCACTTTTGTAGCCGGTGTTGCAAGGTATTTACGTTCCAAATATGCTAAACATTCATATGCCCCTTCATGCTTCGGTCACCATTCCAGAGGACATGCTTCCATTCTGATGATGCTTGTGAAAAAAAATGAGTTAATTAAATTTGTGACTGAACTCCTTGGGGGAGAATTATATGTCTCCTATTCCGTTTTACCCCCATTCTGCCATATATTTCATGTTATAGCAATCTCGGATGATGACCCAGCACATGTTCGTTTTAAGAATACTTTCACTGCACATTTGACAAAATGCAAAGAAGGTACCAATGTGAGATTTCTAAAAATAGCTATAGCACTCGACCCAAGGTTTAAGAATCTGAAGGGCCATCTAAAATCGGAGAGGGATGAGGTGTGGAGCATGCTTTTGGGGGGAGGGATAGCTCAGTGGTTTGAACATTGGCCTGCTAAACCCAGGGTTGTGAGTTCAATCCCTGAGGGGCCCATTTAGGGATCTGGGGCAAAAATTGGGGATTGGTTCTGCTTTGAGCAGGGGGTTGGACTAGATGACCTCCTGAGGTCCCTTCCAACCCTGAGATTCTATGATTCTGTAAGTCTTAAAAGAACAACACTCAGATGTGGAACCTACAGAACCCAAAATACCAAAAAAGAAAAATCAGCCTTCTGCTGGTGGCATCTGACTTAGATGATGAAAATGAACATGCATTGTTCCACTCTGATTTGGATCATTATTGAGCAGAACCCATTATCAGCATGGACGCATGGCCTCTGGAATGGTGTTGAAGCATGAAGAGACATATGAATCTTTAGCACACCTGGCACGTAAATATGTTACAATACCAGCTACAACAGTGCCATGCGAACGCCTGTTCTCACTTTCAGGTGACATTGTAAACAAGAAGCGGGCAGCATTATCTCCTGCAAATTGTAACCTAACTTGTTTGTCTGAGTGGACTTGTAGGCTGTAAAGTTTTATTTTTGAATGCAGTTATTTTTGTGTACATAATTCTACACTTGTAAGTTCAACTTTCATGATAAAGAGATTGCACTACAGTACTTGTAATGGGGGAATTGCAAAATACTATTTCTTTTGTTTTTTTACAGTGCAAATATTTGTAATAAAAATAAATATAAAGTGAGCACTGTACACTTTGTATTCTGTGTTGTAATTGAAATCAATATATTTGAAAATGTAGAAAACATCCAAAATACTTAAATAAATGGTATTCTATTATTGTTTAACTGCGCAATTAATCACGATTAATTTTTTTAATCATGCGGTTAATCACAATTAACTTTTTTAATCGCTTGACAACTCTAGTGATCACCCACAGTTTCCACACACCATCAACGTTATCTAACTTATCTCATGGTCATTCACTAGAGTAGGCTGACTGGTAAAAGAAAGGATTTGCCAATATTTTCTTTAACCCAAACGTCAAGCTGCGTTCACTGGCTGGTGAGGGCACATTATCTGTGAGCATCTGAAAAATAACTGGGTGTTTGACGGCCCTGAACTTCCACTCTAATGAATTGCTATCTGAAAAACAGTGCTGGAAAGAGGGAAGTTCCTTACTTGGTATACTCAGTTATCCAATCAGGGAGTGAAAAGGCTTAGGTGACAAATCATACGGCAAGAATCATGAACGGTGACTAGTCAAAGTGAAACAGTGGTGCACAATCTGTGATCTGAAATGTGTTTGTCCAGACTCTTTGGTGAGTATTGATGAATAGCAAAGACACTGCTGGTTTTGTAATGACTTGCTAAGCAAAAATAAGGGCTAAGGCCAGAATTTCCAGGCATGAGAGCTCTCCTTTGGCTGCATTGAATGTGATACCAGTTTTCAAGACATCAGTCTGGCTGTATAAGGGCTTCTGAAAATACACACTGAGCACTGCCCATTAGGGTTGGGTCTTGGCCTCCCTCCAGGGGAGTGTGTGTAAGCCACTGGTAGGTGGGTGTGACAAAGCCTCTATTTATGTCCAGTGCACAGGAGATATGTCTGTTACAGCTGCAGTTAGTGAACTTATGCTTTTAGCTCTGGTGGTTCCTGGTTCAATCCCAGTTTGTTTGTCAAGATAACAGCAGTCACAAGTGCTCAAAAAGGGGCAGTCTGGTCAGGAAGTGGTAGCCACCTGGGGGATGGGCAGCAGCAGGGATGCTACTGGACATAGCCATCTCACCATATGATGACAGAGTGTACTGGGGGGGAGAGACCCACCCGCTTTGTTGGGCAGGAAGGGAGGCAGATAGGGATGAAACATAGGTAGGCAGACAGCACAGTGGGGGACCCTGGTGTAAAGGAACAACTGGGCTTGATTACATGCACTGTCATGTATCACGCTCCGCATGGGAGCCATGCACTGCTGTCTCGACCCCCATGAGCAGCAGCATCAACAATTAGACACTGGCCTCGGAGTCTGAAAGAAGCAGCATAGCCATGCAGCAGATGGCACTAGTTCTGAGGCAGACATGCAGCATCACTGCAACAAATGTGGCATGTGTGATGGTTCATTGTGGGCTAGCTGGTCGGGGGCACAGGGGCTCAATGTCCACGCCCAGGATGCGGCTTTGCTGTAGGGCATGCTTTGAGACACCACGATGGGCATTGGGAGATTGGGCACTGCTGGCATAGCCTGCAACTCTGTTCATCCTTCCTCTTGGGGGTCCGGGGCACAGAGCTGGGGGCAGGCATTTCAAGGAGGTCCTCAGAAGACCTCTGCTGTTACCATCTGGAAGGAGACTCCCCCAGATGGCTGGGGTTTCCAGGTAGGAATCTCCACCCCATCTACTCTCCTCCCCCGTCCACAGTGCTACCACCTGTGCAAGCAGGCGCCCATGAAACCTACAATCCGCTCTATTGAATTGGTCACTGGTCCCATGGAGCAGGCGGCCCTTCAGCTCCTGATTCACCCTCCTATGTCCCCCTCCCACAGGTACCTCTGCTCCCCAACGGGCCCCCCCGTCAGAGGACGAGAGCACTGTGACGCTCAGCCTTGAGCCTCTGCATCCTCCAGAGGCTTCCGACCAGCAGAGACACCTCCCTGCCAATGACAATGAAGGGTTGCTCTCCCATGAGGACCCCACGTGTCCCCCCAGCTCCCAGGCTGAGCCCCACCTATGTGAGGATGGAGGAGGAGATGTCTGTCCAGCTAACCAAGGTGATGGCTACTGACCACTCCACTAGCCCAGGTGCAAAGGAAGGGGGAGGAGGAGACCACCTCCAGGCAGCTCACAAGTGCTGAGGTGGAAATCCCGAGTGTCTGTGGGGGGATATGGGGCCCTCTGGCCTCAGATCATGGGGATTTAGTGGCCTGGCCCAGGGCCAGTGTGAGCCAAGCAGGCAGCAGCATCCTGAAAGGACAGAAAAGCACAAACAGGCACCTGCTGTCTATGTTGCGTGGGATCACATCCATCTCCCGCTCCCTCCACACCCTCACCTCGGCTTTGATTCCCTTTCTGCAGGATACCACTAGCTGGTGGCAAGCCATGCAGCAGCCTCCTTCAGCCCCTCCCGGCTCAGGGAGCCCACCCCTCCCTGAGACCATGGGCTTATTCGTGCCATCACTGCCCTCGGACCTGCTGGACCTGTTCCTTCCTGACACCCCAGAGGGCAATGTCTCCCTGCTTCCAGCAGCACCCATTGTCCATTGCTCCAGCAGCCACTCCATCTTCCCTCCTCCCCAGGCATCTACCTCCTCCACCAAACTACCTGTGCAACCCCAGCCTGTTTGCTCCTGCAAACAGGCAGGAGAGAGGGCTGGGACAGGAGAGGGGGCCTGGACAGGAACCGGCACATCGATGGATCATGGCAGAGGCTAGTGACACAAGCGCGGATGCCAGGGCCTGACTGCAGCAGTTTCCAAAAAGAAGAAGTATTAATGTTCCTCTTGCTAGTCCTCTCGATTTCCTGGTGCTTTGATAATTGCCAGAGTTGGAAACTGCATGTTTTCTTTCCCTTTATGTCCCTGAAAAGCGTGTGTCACTGAGGAGAAAGGATGGCCTTGTGTATAAGGAAGACTAAGGTGACCTGGGCTCAGTTCTCTCCGGGCAAGCCTGGGCAGTGTACCCAATCTCTCTGTGCCTCAATTCCCCCTCAGTACACAGGGGATAACAGCACTGCCTTTGTCAGTCGTTTGGGGCAGAGACGGTCATTCACCATGTGTTTGTACAGCACCTAGCATCATGGGGCCTCTGCATAACACTAGTACTAACAATGACATCATCTCAGTGTTCTTCTGGAATCAGCTTCCATGCCAGTATCCAAGTTACGAGGGAGCGGGAGCAAGACCTCTCCCTACATTACTGCAGGAATCAGAATCGTCATCTCATCAAAAAGCCGTGAGGGAAATAACTGTTCCTGACCCTAGGAGAGAGGTGGCAGCCAAGGCCTAGCACATACAGCCACCAGCCCCTGGGGCAGGAGTGACAGATGGACACAGCAAGTCAACCCCCAAACCCAGTGGGCAGCCTCGTCCTGGTGGATCCTCTAGTCAGGCTGGAAGCTGTTCAGACCAGGACTGTTTCTCATTATGTGTCTGCACAGCACGCAGCAACTACCCCTGAGAGGTTCCTGTGGCTCTGCCTGTCTGTCGCCCTTGTATAGTCTGGAAGGCCAGTGAAGTCCTGCTGGATTGAATTGTAGGTGTGTCTCTGCGTCCATCAATAGGTTTTAAAGCTGGGGGACCCTTATGGTCATCTAGTCGGACCTGCCTGTATAACACAGCCCAGAGAACCTGTTAGGGAAAAAGGGTTTCCCACCCCCGTCTAGGGTTGGGAGGGTAGCCTTCCCTGGACTTCTGTATTAGCCAAACAAACACAAAGTCAGGACTCTTAGATAAAATGAGGCACTTTAATGCTAGCTGAAGGGCTCACCAATTCCTACACAGAGGAATATGGCGAAGCCCAGAACAAAGAACAAGGTAGAGCTTTTATAGCTTGGTTCAACATACTTTGTGATATCTCTTCCAGTTCAAACCGGTCAACCCCTGTTGGTCTGAGTCCTGAGGTATGAACATGGAGGCCCATCTGTATAAGGAATTCTTTCCCCAAACGGGGAGTACAGGTTACACATAGTTCAAATTCTTTCTACCCATAAACATAGGGAAAGGACAGATAAGCATAGAAAAAAGACAGAAGCCTAGCTTTACATGATTATAGGGTTGTTTTCTGGTTCTTTTCTTTATCAAACCCACCCGGGATCCTGCAGCCAGCCCATAGCTTATGGTTGAGCTGGAGTGTATGTTTTAGACAGACATCCATCCAGTCTCAGTGTAAAGACTTCATGGGGTGAGAATCCACCGTCTCCCTTGGTAAGTTCTTCCAATGGTCAGTTACCCTCCCTGTTAAAATCTGCCCCTTATCTCTAGGCTGGGTTTATGCACCATCAGCTTCTGGCCACTGAACTTTTGGGTTCCCCTTCACCCTCCACTCCTCCTCCTCTCCTTCTTTGTGTTCCTCAACAGCCTCTTATGGCTCCTTCACCTCAGGATACGGCTCCTTCACCCCAGGGCCCTCACTGCCTGATGGGGAATTTCCCCCTTCCCTTACACCTAGCCCCACCTATTCTTCTCTCATGAGTTCCCTAGTACATGCTCGCCTGCTGTCTCCCTTTGTGTGTGAGTGCATGAGGGTTTGTGTTCTCTCTGCCTGCCTGTCCCGGGTCCCGTGTGCAGCCCTGATCCTGCAGTGTGTTAGCTGGGCCTTGTGAGCGGTGAGTAGGCTGCTCTGCCAGTGTGCACTGGCTGCTTGGTCCAGGGAGTGGCTGTGTGAGGCAAGTGGATTAAGTGGTGCCAGGTGACTCAGTCAAAGTGGCAGCACATGTTCAGGCATGTAGGACACTTGCTATGGCTTTTGAATAATGGCAGCTGATATGCCATGGCCATTCACCCTGTGCAGCTTCAGTGTACCATGAATTTGTGTCCTGCCCTTGGCAGCTTTCTGAGAATGGGTTGTGCACATTAGTTGCTCTCTGCCTGCATTCTGTAGGGGCTCCTACCAGCAATTTTGGGAGGCAGCTTTGCCTAGTAGATAGAACACTGGACTAGATTCAAGAGACCTGAGCTCTATTTCTGGCCCTACCCCTGGCCTGCTGGGTGATCTTAAGCAAATCACATTGCCACTCCGTGCCTCAGTTTCTCCATCTTTAAAACAGGGAGAATGACACTTCTTTTGCAAAGCTCTTTGAGATGTACTACTGAAAAATGCTATATTAAAGCTAGGTTTTGTTATTAGCCAGCACTGCTGTTCCCATGCATACCAATGGTGGTTTGGCCTGTTACTTAACTCATTCTTTTTTGTTCTTTCTAGAAGCTGCCCCAGCTAGATCCATAGATAATTCCAGCAAGGTAAGACGGTTTTGTGCTTGTTCTGTCAGAGTTGGGGATCAGCACATGCAGCATTCCCTGTACCTGTGGCAGGAATCCAAGCTCAGTTTTCAGGATCATTGGCTGGAATGGAGGGCTGATTGATATACATTTCCTCTTGCCCCGTGTTGTTTTTAATACAGCAATTTTAATCTAAGGTCCTATTGTTCCCTCAATTCCATCCCTTTCATAGAATCATAGAATATCAGGGTTGGAAGGGACGTCAGGAGGTCATCAAGTCCAACCCCCTGCTCAAAGCAGGACCAATCCCCAATTTTTGCCCCAGATCCCTAAATGGCCCCCTCAAGGATTGAATTCACAACCCTGGGTTTAGCAGGGCAATGCTCATACCACTGAGCTATCCCTCCTTTTCTCCTGCCTCAAGGTTCGATCACACATCCAAATTGGTGGACACGTGAGCCAATAAAAATAATAATCCCTAGCTCTTCTTTTCAGGGGGTTGGTTGGATGAACCAGGCTGACAGCGCCATCCAATGGTGATGCTCCGGGATATAACACCCAACAGTAGGGGTCCTAGGCACTGCTTCGCCTCATGGTGTTATTGCCCCGTGGTGAGATACCAAGGGGCCACTTCACTTTGCGGAGATATTGCCTGTGGTGGGAATCCAAGGGTCCACTTCTCCTCGTGGCATTCTTGCCCCATGGTGAGAGTCCAAAGGGGCGCTTCGCCTCCCAGAATTATCGCCCCATGGTGAGATTCCAAGTGGCTGCTTTGGCTCACGGCGTTATTGCCCCATGGCTGGGAGTGCAATGGGGAGCGTTGCCTCGCGGCGTTATCGCCTGGTGGTGAGAGTCCAAGGGGCCGCTTCGCCTCGTGGCGTTATCGCCCCGAGGCTGGGAGTCCAAGGGGCCGCTTCGCCTCGTGGCGTTATCGCCCCGAGGCTGGGAGTCCAAGGGGCCGCTTCGCCTCGTGGCGTTATCGCCCCGAGGCTGGGAGTCCAAGGGGCCGCTTCGCCTCGTGGCGTTATCGCCCCGAGGCTGGGAGTCCAAGGGGCCGCTTCGCCTCGTGGCGTTATCGCCCCGAGGCTGGGAGTCCAAGGGGCCGCTTCGCCTCGTGGCGTTATCGCCCGAGGCTGGGAGTCCAAGGGGCCGCTTCGCCCCGAGGCTGGGAGTCCAGGCCGCTTCGCTGGCGTTATCGCCCCGAGGCTGGGAGTCCAAGGGGCCGCTTCGCCTCGTGGCGTTATCGCCCCGAGGCTGGGAGTCCAAGGGGCCGCTTCGCCTCGTGGCGTTATTGTCTTGAGATGGGAATCCAAGTGTCAGGTACACCTTACAGTGTTATAGCCCTGTGGTGAGAGTCCAAGGGACAGCTTCGCCTCGCTTCACCTTGCACAGTTGTCAACCCATGGCTGGGAGTCCAAGGGGCTGCTTCACCTTGTGGCATTATTGCCCCACAGTGAGAGTCCAAGGGTCTGGTACGCCTTAAGGCATTATCGCCCTGTGGCTGGGAGACCAAGGGGCCGCTTTGCTTCGTGGCATTATCGCCCTGTGGCTGGGAGACCAAGGGGCCGCTTTGCTTCGTGGCATTATCGCCCTGTGGCTGGGAGACCAAGGGGCCGCTTTGCTTCGTGGCATTACCGCCCTGTGGCTGGGAGACCAAGGGGCCGCTTTGCTTCGTGGCATTACCGCCCTGTGGCTGGGAGACCAAGGGGCCGCTTCGCCTCGTGGCATTACTGCCCCGTGGCTGGGAGTCCAAGGGACCGCTTCGCCTCGTGGCATTATCGCCCCACACTGAGAGTCCAAGGGTCCAGTACATCTTACGGCTTTATCACCCTGTGGTAAGAGTGCAAGAACTCATTTTTCCTCGTGGCGTTATCACCCTGTGGTGACCGTCATAGGGGCCACTTTGCCCTTTGGTGAGAGTCCAAGGGGCCGCTTTGCCTCGTGGCGTTATCGCCCTGTGGTGAGAGTTGGGAGGGTAGGGGAACCAGGGCCTACCCTACTCCTCCATGTTCTGACCCTTTTAAAACCAGGTAGCCTAGCACAGAGCTCAGGCCCAATATCTCCACACTCATACCCTGGGTCACTTCCTGCCCTCATCTTATTTCCTCCAGCATCATCTTTGGGGTCGGAGGTGGGGTATCTCTCGTGATTGCACTGGTCCATCTGGAGCAGCTCCTCAACTGGTAACAGGAAGTCATCCCCTTTAGTTCCCATGGCCGACTGACTAGGAGGCTCGGACCCGGCGGCTGGGAGTCCTGGCGGCTTCCTGGGAGGAGACTGCAGCACACAACTGCTCTCCTCCTCAGTAAGCCAAGACTGCGTTGTGCTGCTCCCTTTTGAACATTCTCTCTACTGGGAGCATGCCCAACAAGGGCGAGGGGGCATGGCCTCTTGGGCCCAAAACAGATTGTTAACCCTCGCCTCGCCAGCGTGGGGTTGATACACCCTGTCAGACTTATCTAGCACTTTTCATCAGTAGGTCTCAAAGGAGATCAGTAGCATTATCGCCAGTGGGACTGCTGATGTGAGTAAGAACTCACCAACATTAGGAAGGGCTGCAGAGCCTAGCCTTCACTGTACTTCTTGCCCTTCCCATGCCACCCCTAACCCTGCCACCTTACATGATAGGGTATCGGAAAGACATTGAACCTTGAGGCATCAAAACACAGGCCATGTAAATATTCCAGATTCTAATGTTAGCAAATGCTCGGGATGTACAGGTGTATATAAACAGTTCCCTAACTGATACTTGGCAAGGGGATTTTGTTGTGTCTTTGTCTCTTTATTCAATATAGGTAATATAAAGGAAGCACATGGGTACAGTGGCTCCAAATGAGCATGTTTACTAGACATCTCTTACATGCACAGCCTCCCTATGTATATAGACCGCTGTTTTTACAGGGTCTTGGTGGCTTCAGAAGCACAGAAGAAAGTAAGGGTCACTAACAGGCTCACAAACTATTTAAGGGGATGGGGGAATGGGAAATGTATTTGGGGTGCTGGGAGAATGAAGTGACTTGCTGAGAACAGAGACAGAGTGAGTAAGCAGATGTAAGTTCTCCTTATGTCATTTCCTGATGTGAGGGTTTAAATTGCCAACTTCAGTTTTAATTAACAACGTTATTTGCACTGAATTACCTTGTTTTTTTTTTCCCCAAAGAGAAAAAAATAATGATGCTGTCACTGACTATGACTTGGGTGCTGCTCCCTTCTCCATCCGCTGGCGGGTGGAGGCAAAAGGAGCAACCCATTTTCCATGTTTCTGGGGTCATCTCCAAGAACTGAGAACATCCACTGCTGTCTGTCCATCCATCCATCACCCATTGTTATGATATGTCAGGGCCTTTCCTATTATGTGTCCCAAATTGTGTAAAATGCATATGTCTAGCCTCCACATTAAGGAACCTAGAGCCACACCATCTCCAAAGACTCTTTCAAACATATTCCCAAGCAGAAAACAATGAGCTGTCAAGGATCTGTTTTCATTGTTTAGGCCCCTTCGTTGTTGAAGAGGAAAGGAGTCCAAACCGAGGCCCCTGCGAAGGTGATCAAGACTGAAGCTGATGCAGGCAAATGGGAGCAATCAGCAAGGAAGCACCAACAGAATTTGCTGGAACAACCGGGGACCAGTTCCTCAACAGCAAGCAACTCTTCATGCGTGACTGACAGCTTCAGTGCAGCCAAAGTAGCTGACTTGCTGGAAAATAACATCTATGAGCCATGTGAGCCAGGTAGGCAGAGACGATCACTTTGACCATTTACATCAGTGAATCCACAAAGAGATTCCTGAAATACATGTGGGTCCTGTGAGACCTTATCTGGAGTATTGTGAGCAATTCTGGTCTCCCAGGTTTAAGAAAGATGAATTCAGACTGGAACAAGTGCAGAGAGGGGCTACTAGGATGAACCGAGTAATGGAAAACCCACCTTATGAGAGGAGACTCAAAGAGCTTGTCTTGTTTAACCTAACCAAAAGAAGGTGGAGGAGAGATAAATACATCAATAGGGATAAATACCAGGGAGGGAGAGGAGTTATTTAAGTTAAGGGCCAATGTGGGCACAAGAACAAATGGATATAAACTGGCCAACAATAAGTTTAGGCTTGAAATTAGATGAAGGTTTCTAATCATAAAAGGAATGAAGTTTTGGAACAGCTTTCCAAGGGAACAGTAGGGGCAAAAAACCTAACTGGCTTCAAGACTGAGCTTGATAAGTTTATGAAGGGGATTGTATATTGGGACTGCCTACAGTGGCATGTAACTGATATGTGACTGCAAGCAGAAAATATCTCCAATGGCTGGTGATGGGACACTAAATGGGGAGGGCTCTGAGTTACTACTGAGAATTCTTTCCCAGGAATCTGCCTGGTGGGTCTTGCTGACATGGTCAGGGTCTAACTGATCACCATATTTGGAGTCAGGAAGGAATTTTCCCCCAGATCAGATTGTCTGAGACCCTGTGGGTTTTTTGCCTTCCTCTGCAGCCCGGGGCACAGTCACTTGCAGGTTTAAACTTGTGTAAATAGTGGATTCTCTGTAACTTGAAGTCTTTAAATCATAATTTGGGGACTTCAGTAACTCAGCGAAAGGTTAGGGGTCTATTACAGGAGTGGGTGGGTGAGGTTCTGTGGCTTGCAATTCGCAAGAGGTCAGACTAGATGACCATTGATGGTCCCTTCTGACCTTAAAGTCTGAGTCTATGAGAGGTACATCTGGTGGACAGTTAGAAAAGTACCTCCTCTGATTTCCTACAGATTTCCTAAAGGGATCAGATTTTAGAGTAACAGCCGTGTTAGTCTGTATTAGCAAAAAGAAAAGGAGTACTTGTGGCATTTTAGAGACTAACCAATTTATTTGAGCATAAGCTTTCATGAGCTACAGTTCACTTCATCGGATGCATACTGTGGAAACTGCAGAAGACATTATATACACAGAGACCATGAAACAATACCTCCTCCCACCCCACTCTCCTGCTGGTAATAGCTTATCTAAAGTGATCACTCTCCTTACAATGTGTATGATAATCAAGATGGACCATTTCCAGCACAAATCCAGGTTTTCTCACCCTCCGCCCCCCCACACACACACACAAACTCACTCTCCTGCTGGTAATAGCTTATCCAAAGTGACCACTCTCCTTACAATGTGTATGATAATGTCTGTGGGGGGGAGGGGTGGTAGGAAAAAACAAGGGGAAATAGGCTACCTTGCATAATGACTTAGCCACTCCCAGTCTCTATTTAAGCCTAAATTAATAGTATCCAATTTGCAAATGAATTCCAGTTCAGCAGTTTCTCGCTGGAGTCTGGATTTGAAGTTTTTTTGTTATAAGATATCGATCTTCATGTCTGTAATTGCGTGACCAGAGAGATTGAAGTGTTCTCCGACTGGTTTATGAATGTTATAATTCTTGACATATGATTTGTGTCCATTTATTCTTTTAAGTAGAGACTGTCCAGTTTGGTCACTTTATGATCTTATTCACAGAACCAAATGAGTTGTATATATTTGCTGATCCTATTCCCTTTTAACTGCACTGGATTTAATTCCATTCATGTTTCTACACTGTGTTGTATTAGCCCCAGGAAAGGCCCATAAATGCTTGACAGGATGTAATGTAATGGTGACCTGCAGACTTTTTTTTTCTTTAATAGGTCAGAGTAGGCCACAGAAACTCCCTCATCGCTACACAAACACATGCAGCCCTGGACACACACATTGATGCCTAATTTTCCTTAAGAAAATCTCACACAATTTTTTGTTTTAATTATTATTATTAGCCCTGTGTTTTTCCACTCTCTCCACCAGAGAATTTTGACATATACCGGGTGTGAATATTGAGGGACTGTTGCTTGGTGCAGAATTGCTCCCTTTCTTCTCTTTCTCCAGACAATGTATGCATCTCAATGCACACCAAGTGCCAGCTTCCTTTCTCATAGAATCATAGAATCATAGAATATAAGGGTTGGAAGGGACCCCAGAAGGTCATCTAGTCCAACCCCCTGCTCGAAGCAGGACCAAATCCCAGTTAAATCATCCCAGCCAGGGCTTTGTCAAGCCTGACCTTAAAAACCTCTAAGGAAGGAGATTCTACCACCTCCCTAGGTAACGCATTCCAGTGTTTCACCACCCTCTTAGTGAAAAAGTTTTTCCTAATATCCAATCTAAACCTCCCCCACTGCAACTTGAGACCATTACTCCTCGTTCTGTCATCTGCTACCATTGAGAACAGTCTAGAGCCATCCTCTTTGGAACCCCCTTTCAGGTAGTTGAAAGCAGCTATCAAATCCCCCCTCATTCTTCTCTTCTGCAGGCTAAACAATCCCAGCTCCCTCAGCCTCTCCTCATAAGTCATGTGTTCCAGACCCCTAATCATTTTTGTTGCCCTTCGCTGGACTCTCTCCAATTTATCCACATCCTTCTTGAAGTGTGGGGCCCAAAACTGGACACAGTACTCCAGATGAGGCCTCACCAATGTCGAATAGAGGGGAACGATCACGTCCCTCGATCTGCTCGCTATGCCCCTACTTATACATCCCAAAATGCCATTGGCCTTCTTGGCAACAAGGGCACACTGCTGACTCATATCCAGCTTCTCGTCCACTGTCACCCCTAGGTCCTTTTCCGCAGAACTGCTGCCTAGCCATTCGGTCCCTAGTCTGTAGCTGTGCATTGGGTTCTTCCGTCCTAAGTGCAGGACCCTGCACTTATCCTTATTGAACCTCATCAGATTTCTTTTGGCCCAATCCTCCAATTTGTCTAGGTCCTTCTGTATCCTATCCCTCCCCTCCAGCGTATCTACCACTCCTCCCAGTTTAGTATCATCCGCAAATTTGCTGAGAGTGCAATCCACACCATCCTCCAGATCATTTATGAAGATATTGAACAAAACCGGCCCCAGGACCGACCCTTGGGGCACTCCACTTGATACCGGCTGCCAACTAGACATGGAACCATTGATAACTACCCGTTGAGCCCGACAATCTAGCCAGCTTTCTACCCACCTTATAGTGCATTCTTCCAGCCCATACTTCCTTAACTTGCTGACAAGAATACTGTGGGAGACCGTGTCAAAAGCTTTGCTAAAGTCAAGAAACAATACATCCACTGCTTTCCCTTCATCCACAGAACTAGTAATCTCATCATAAAAGGCGATTAGATTAGTCAGACATGACCTTCCCTTGGTGAATCCATGCTGGCTGTTTCTGATCACTTTCCTCTCATGCAAGTGCTTCAGGATTGATTCTTTGAGGACCTGCTCCATGATTTTTCCAGGGACTGAGGTGAGGCTGACTGGCCTGTAGTTCCCAGGATCCTCCTTCTTCCCTTTTTTAAAGATTGGCACTACATTAGCCTTTTTCCAGTCATCCGGGACTTCCCCCGTTCGCCACGAGTTTTCAAAGATAATGGCCAATGGCTCTGCAATCACAGCCGCCAATTCCTTCAGCACTCTCGGATGCAACTCGTCCGGCCCCATGGACTTGTGCACGTCCAGCTTTTCTAAATAGTCCCTAACCACCTCTATCTCCACAGAGGGCTGGCCATCTCTTCCCCATTTTGCGATGCCCAGCGCAGCAGTCTGGGAGCTGACCTTGTTAGTGAAAACAGAGGCAAAAAAAGCATTGAGTACATTAGCTTTTTCCACATCCTCTGTCACTAGGTTGCCTCCCTCATTCAGTAAGGGGCCCACACTTTCCTTGGCTTTCTTCTTGTTGCCAACATACCTGAAGAAACCCTTCTTGTTACTCTTGACATCTCTGGCTAGCTGCAGCTCCAGGTGCGATTTGGCCCTCCTGATATCATTCCTACATGCCCGAGCAATATTTTTATACTCTTCCCTGGTCATATGTCCAATCTTCCACTTCTTGTAAGCCTCTTTTTTATGTTTAAGATCCGCTAGGATTTCACCATTAAGCCAAGCTGGTCGCCTGCCATATTTACTATTCTTTCGACTCATCGGGATGGTTTGTCCCTGTAACCTCAACAGGGATTCCTTGAAATACAGCCAGCTCTCCTGGACTCCTTTCCCCTTCAAGTTAGTCCCCCAGGGGATCCTGGCCATCCGTTCCCTGAGGGAGTCGAAGTCTGCTTTCCTGAAGTCCAGGGTTCGTATCCTGCTGCTTACCTTTCTTCCCTGCGTCAGGATCCTGAACTCAACCAACTCATGGTCACTGACTCCCAGATTCCCATCCACTTTTGCTTCCCCCCACTAATTCTACCCGGTTTGTGAGCAGCAGGTCAAGAAAAGCGCCCCCTAGTTGGCTCCTCTAGCACTTGCGCCAGGAAATTGTCCCCTACGCTTTCCAAAAACTTCCTGGATTGTCTATGCACCGCTGTATTGCTCTCCCAGCAGATATCAGGAAAATTAAAGTCACCCATGAGAATCAGGGCATGCGATCTAGTAGCTTCCATGAGCTGCCGGAAGAAAGCCTCATCTACCTCATCCCCCTGGTCCGGCGGTCTATAGCAGACTCCCACCACTACATCACTCTTGTTGCACACACTTCTAAACTTAATCCAGAGACACTCAGGTTTTTCTGCAGTTTCGTACCGGAGCTCTGAGCAGTCATACTGCTCCCTTACATACAGTGCTACTCCCCCACCTTTTCTGCCCTGCCTGTCCTTCCTGAACAGTTTATAACCATTCATGACAGTACTCCAGTCATGTGAGTTATCCCACCAAGTCTCTGTTACCCCCATGTAACCATCAGAAACCCCAGTTTAAATGAGAGCAAAATCAATCCCCCAGCTTGGGTGTTTGTTCAGATTCTGGTAGCCTGGCCTTCTGCACCCCTCTTTCCTTGCTATCTGTAAGGAAAACCTTGCATAGAAAGAGAGATTGAAAAGACTAGGATTCTTCACCTTAGAGAGGAGATGAATGAGAGGGGATGTGACACAGACATACATAATCATGCATGGGATGGAGAAAGTAGATGGGGGCTGCTATTCACCCATTCTCATAATACAAGAACAAGGGGACAGTCAGGGTAGTTAGAAGCAGCAAAATTAAAATCCATATAAACATTCAGTCTTTCTTTTGAATCTTGCTAAGATCTTGGTTTCAATGATCTCCTATGGCAGTGAGTTCCACAGGCTAACTGTGCACCATGTGAAAAAGGAAGGTCACCTATCACATACACCAATCCCTAGTCTCGCACATACACCCCTGCGGTCCCTGGCACACTCAGACACCTTCAGGGGTCTGACGTGCCTTTTCGTCTGTTGCAGATGATCCCACAGTTTGTTTGGACAGCTCTGAAGGGGATGACAGCGATGAAGAGTCAACAGTGAGTGTGGCATAATGCCCAAGAGCACCTATGGCATCACAGCTCCCAGGGTAGATGCTGGGAGATTGAGAACAACCTCCAGTATGACCTGTCTCAGCTGGAACATACCAGACACTGTCTGTATATGTGGTGTAGGGCGCTCAGCATTTAGGCTGATTTTCAAACGAGATTTGATGCCCCGACCAGTTTGACAGAGATATTTTAGCACCTAACGATGCAGAGAGGCACCTAATGGATTTACCAAAGCACTTAAGGGTTTGTCTTCCCTGCAGAGTTAACCTGGGCTCTTCCCTTGGTGTTGCTCCAACCCCCATCCTGTCCATACGCAAAACCCCCTTACTGAGTTTAGCAGTGCTTTACACCCAAGTTAGCTTGCCCAGCTTGGGGTGGGTGGGGGGAGTGTTAGAGCCCTGCTTTCACTGAGGTGGGTAACCCACCTGCTTTGCAGTGAGGATGCAGCTAAACCACTACAGTGCTGATAGTCCTCCACTGCCTTCCCACAATCCCCTTGTGCCCAGAAGGATAAAGGAGGTCTCCCCCAATTATCCGGGAAGAATCATAGAGCAGCTTAGCTCACTGCTGTGTTAAGAACCATCGGAGGGGTGCCACAGCTCTAAGGACACACACGGGGGAGCACAGCAGCCATGAGGACACAGTAACCTGGGCAAGGCTTTTCTGCTCGCATCCAGGCTAGGCTAACCCAGGAACTCAGCCCCAGGTGCCAATCACCTGAATGAACTCTGCAGCGAAGACAGAGCCTCAGTGAGTTTACAGTGCCTCAGCCCATCCTGGGGGAACTAGAGGTCGTGAGTTTCCAGAGCTCATGCTCTGGCATCTTTAGGAGCTTTTGAGAACAAGTCACCATTTCCTTCCCCAGGACTCTAGTCTGCCAGACGACATCAACAGCGTCAGTTGTGAGAGCAGCAAGGGAGACCTCCTGGCCTTTCCTGCTGGCAGCCTGAGGGAGCTCAACACGAGACAAGCATCACTGCTCTTCTTTGACCTCAAGTTCTTGAGTAAGACCCTGAGAATTTCTGTTTTAAAGGCAAATGTGAATCCCTGTCTGCAAATCATTGGGGTGAGATCACTGCGCTTAGCAACAGTCCTATCAGGGGGGAGTGAGGGGCAGGCCAGATGTCATGAGGCTTCCTGGTCATGCTGGGGAAAGTACATTCTGCCATGTCCCCATTAGGGTGTAGTATGCTCCCCACAGCATGGTGAGGCAGCTCTGCCGTTGGGAGGAGCACCAAGTCCATGAGGACATGAATATTTTTATGTAAGGATGGTCAGCTGCTAGTGGCCAGTGCACCTTCCACATGGTCATTCAGGGCTCTAGATTAATGGCCACAGGACTTTCTGGAGCAGCCATTCCCTTTCAGAAGTGACACATTCAAGAGAGGAAGCACCTGCTTTTCAAGCACCTCAGATGCCCCATCATAGCAGCGTCAGAGAGACACCTTTCCCCTTTCCCAGGAACATGGTGCTACAGAGATAGCAGTTGATACTGTAAATGGGAAGGGTTAGTTGAAGCATCCCTGATGTGGCAAGCTATACTTGGATGTCAGACACTGATGACCTGCTTGGGGAAGACTATGAGGAGAATTGGAATGGGCCAGATCCCCAGTTGCTGTTAATCGTTGTAGCTCCATTGAAGTCCATAATTACACCAGGTGAGGAGCTCACTCAATGTTCTAGTTTCGCTCGACTAATTCTGTCTTTCACTCCCAGCAGCGAATAAAATCCTTCAGCTGGCTCTGGTGGATGGAGAAAAGAACTTTACCATCTTGATTCAGCCTCTGAAATCTTTGCCTGGCTTGATCTCAAAAGGCGGCGTCTGTGAGATTGGTGTGAAGACTTTATTCCGCTACCTCTGCTCTGTCCACAAACCCATCTTAGCAGGGTATGACCTCTGGTCACCAGCCCTTCCTATCCTTTTTCAATCTCTGGATCTCATTAGCAAGAAAGAGGAGTTTAGTGCAGCTGTCTTTGGTTTCCTGGACATCTTGCCCCTGATTAAAGAGAAGATCCCCAAGGCTGGGAGTTACAAACTGAAGAACCTGGCCAACACTTACATTTGGCGGCAGCTCAGTGATAACAGCCCCCTGGAGAATGCAAAGGCCCTAAGGGATCTGTGCACAGTTCTGGAGATTGATCCAGTGGAGGACCCGAAGCCTGTGCTCACCTGCTCTAATCTGGAATGTTATGCTTCCCTTCAGCCATTGCTGAATGAGAAACTTCTCACTAAGCCTTCGGTGCGGATGCTGTCCATGCACAACATGAGCCTTTCCAAGCTCCACACCTTATACCTGAGGGACCCTGAGAAAGGGCTGCAGAAGTTCTGCAGGTTCTTCAATTCTCGGCTGCAGAGCTCTGAGAAGAAAATCCGAAAGCTAAGTAAGATCAAAGCCCATTTCCAAAGCCCACAGCCATCAGCTGGGCACCAAGCAGCAGCAGCAAATGAACTGCCACGAGCAATAAAGAGTGAGCCAGACTGCTGAAGTACATCTATAGCTCAGACAAATATATCTGTGCATGGCACCTCAGGCATGAGGCTGAGCAGCAACATTCAGCTCTGAGGTCCAGACTCCACCAGAATTCAAGTTCAGATTCACCATCTTCAGTTTGGCCCATTATCTAGAGCAGGGCCTGTTGCAAAGCTCACATCTAGATCTGAACTATGAATTTCTGGGTTGCTTGGATCAGGTGTTCTGGGGGGCAGGGGACTCTCTCCCCCCCCCCCTTTGTATTTATTTCATATACAAAACTTTGTTAAGCTGAAGTGCTTAGGGCACTACCCTAGGACTTGGGAGACATGGGTTCAAGTCCCTGCTCCACCACAGACCTCCTGTGTGACTTGGGGCAAGTCATGTAGCCACTCTCTGCCTTAGTTTCCCATCTGTGCATTGGGGAAAATAGTCTCGCCCTGCCTCACTGGAGTGTTAGGAGGCGGTGGTTACGTCCTATTCAGGCCTGTCTGTAGAGGCCTATACTCTAAGAATTTAGGTGTATTCTTATCACTTGGCTAGTTATAGAGGCATAAAAGAAAGAATCAAAATCACTGTCTGCTGGTGTAAGGTCCTTCTCTTACTGTGACAGTCTGAGGCCCTGTTCTTAGGCTAAGGTCTTTGGCTAAGCAACAGAGGCAGCCATAAGCTGGGAAGCGACCGGTCACATCCTCACATTCCAACTTAGTCACATTGAAATAAGGTGCTATTGGGCTGTTAGGCACTATCAGGACAGGATTGTATTCCTATCACCTCCAGAGAAAGGGAAGTGCTTAGAAAATGTAAAAGGAAACTTAGTTTGATAGCATCCTGTCTGGCAAGAACTCACTTTTCAATAGCTGGGATGTGAAATCCTCACTTCTGTATTGTTTTGTCATTATAGTTCCCACTTTGCTATTGTTTTTCTGCATAATCTCTGTCTGGTTCTGTGATTGTTCCTGTCTGCTGTATAAATAATTTTGCTGGGTGTAAACTAATTAAGGTGGTGGGATATAATTGGTTACATAATCGTGTTACAATATGTTAGGATTGGTTAGTTAAATTTCAGGAAAATGATTGGTTAAGGTATAGCAAAGCAGAACTCAAGTTTTACTATATAGTCTGCAGTCAATCAGGAAGTGGTGGGGGGGGGGGGAAATGGGAACAGGGAATGGAGTAAGGAAGCTGGAATCATGTTTGGCTAAGGGTAGGAATGGGAACAGGGACACAGATAGGTAAGGCTCTGTGGTAGTCAGAGCTGGGAAGAGGGACACTAAGGAAGGAAACTGGAATCATGCTTGCTGGAAGTTCACCCCAATAAACATCGAATTGTTTGCACCTTTGGACTTTGGGTATTGTTGCTCTCTGTTCATGCGAGAAGGACCAGGGAAGTAAGTGGGTGAAGGAATAAGCCCCCTAACACTGTGCATTGGGGAAAATAGTCTCACCCTGCCTCACTGGAGTGTTAGGAGGCGGTGGTTATGTCCTATGGAAACAAATAAGTACCCAAGATAGACCGAAATCAGGGTTGCAGAACCATATCAGTGGCTTGAGGACATACTGCCTGTCAGGATTGTTAGAGTTAAAGTCCCTCAAGCATTAAACCCCCCCAAAGGTGCAGAGTTAAAGGTGCTACTCTGAGCAGGACTCATGGTAGTAATAACACTGCAATCTGACCATACGCGATTTCCAACAGTGCTGCCATGATTGGAGCTGCACCAGCAGTTATGGGACCTAATTTTCCTAGTGCAGACAAGACCTGTGTTACCTGATGTATCCATTTCCTCACATAGACTTGTTTCTGTTTGGTGTATGGACCAGATACTCAGAAGTGTGTAGGCACATAACTCCTATTGAGAGTCAGGCACCTAAATACCTTTGAGGATCTGGACCTACGTGACCAGAGGGAGGACTCTGTCTATCCAGCCATTACTTCCTTGTATTTATTATCACCATCAGCCTGTAGAATAAGCAAATTTTATACAATTATATGCACAAGAATTGCCTGTGTGATTGATTCAGGGGGCTGGACTTGATGACTTTTCACAGTCCCTTCCAGCCTTACATGTCTATTACATGTGAATACAGACTAACACGGCTGCTACTCTGAAACATGTCTATGATTGTGGCAGCAGCACACAGAGCAAGGGGAATTTTAATTATAATAAAATGAAATGTCTTTGCTCCGCTCTAAGTGTGGCCTAGATCCTCAAAGATATGGCACCTAACTCCCATTGATTTCATGCAAGTTAGGAGCTTAAATGCCCTGGAGGATCTGGATGTGTTTTCCTACTTACCCTGCGCATTTCCTGCTACTTTTCAATGTGGATTGTAAATTCCTTGGGACAGGGAATCCATTGTCACTGGTGTTTGTAAAGGGCCAGGCACCTGTATGTAATCATGTAAGTAAGAAATAAAATTCATAATTTGATATGAATCCGAAGTTGTTCTGTCTTGACCCATGCTGATCACACTTCCTTAATATCCTCTTGTGAAGGACCCTATCTTGGGTATTGGGGTAAATCATGTGCACCTACCCTCTGCTTGCCACATGCACACAAAACCATCAGGGTACTGGTGCACATGGACAGGGGCTATGAGAACAGGACATATAGTCAAAAACTGCACATCAAATTCGGTCATAAAAGTAGAGGAAAACCAAGCTGATCTGAAAGCCAATCTCAGCTTCGTGTCTCCACCTTGCCCTTAATGAATGAATACAATGAACAGGCACTACCCATATGTTGCTGGAAATATCTTCAAACAGGGGACAAGCCAAATCCCAGATCTGGATGTAGGAGAAAGTTGGCTCCAGATACAGACCTAAATGCAGCCCTTGGGCCCATTCCTAGTGACAGCAGTAGTTATTTTGCAGCAGGGCCGTCCCTAGCCATTTTGGTGCCCTATGCAGCCCCCCGCGGGTGGGGCGGGGGGCCCCAGGCCTCCATAAGGGCAGGGGCAGGGCTGGCCGCAAGCCTTCGTGGGGGGACAGGAGGGAAACCACCCGCAGCATGAGCCGGCAGAGCAGAGTGGGTTGGGGCTAGGTTGCTCCACTTCCTGCTGCCTGGTGAGTGCAGGGCGGGCCCGACCCCGCACTTATGTGGCAGCGGGAAGTGGAGTGATCCAGCCCCAACCCACTGCACTCTGCTCTCCTGGCTCCCAGCCCTGGGACTTGGGGGGAGGGTGGAACCGCCCCCCAGCACCCATCGGCGGCACGGGTGGGAGCTAGTGGTACAGAGCAGGCTGGGGCCGGGTTGCTCCATGTCCCGCCGCTCGGTGAGTGCAGGGCACGCCCAATCCCTGCTGCAGCCCTCAGGGGCCTAGCTCATGGGAAGGGGTGGAGTGAGGGCGGGTCTGGGGTGGAGCAGGGGCGGGAAGAGGCGGGGCAGAGGCTGGAGCAGCACACAGCTGCATAGGACACCAGGAAATTTGGTGCCTCAAATTTCCTGGTGCCCTACACAACTGCGTACTTTGCATATGGATAAGGATGGCCCTGCTTGGCAGCACCACCATGGCAACCCCAGCTCGTGATGTTTTGAATCTGCAAATAACCTGAGATTCTTTGCAAAAAGTACAGTGAGTCTCACACACCAAGGCAGACCGTCATCATGGTGTGGAGCGGAACTCTTGACTTTCAGCTGAGCACAGTAACATTACACGCTCCCTAATGATCATCCCATTCAGTTACCCTCCTCCACACAACGCCCACAACAAAGTGATTACCAATGGCTGAGAATCACCAACCAAGCTGCTTCAAACCAGCTTTGCCGGGAACACCCTGGGCGGTCACTCTAAGTAACGTTCAGGGCAAAGGCAGAAACCAAATGCAAAACAACTGTAGTGGATTCCCCAGATGAAGTCTCATCCAGTCCTCATGGGCAAAGATAGTGGCTAAGTCTGCACAACAGCTGGGCAGGCACTTCCCAGCAAGGCTAGACAGACACATGCTGATGCTTGAGTTAGCATGCTAAAAATAGCAGCTACCCACCCACATAGAATCCCGCCTGCCCCCCTGCACACATACGCAGGCATCTCGCCTGAGCCATGACCACACTGCAATTCAGTGGCTGTATAGCAGAGCCTGGCATGTTTGGGGAAAGGGCAGGGAAATGGGAGAGGGCAAGGCTTGAAACGGAGAAAAATAGGGGACTGCTCAGAGAAGTGAAAACCCCAGAGAGGGGGGAAGTCCATGCAGGAATGCAGTCATGGGATCAGCAGGCAGGTAAAGCCAGCTCTGCTTACAGGCTCTGGGAGTCATAGAAATGTGAGGCTGGAAGGGACCTGGAGAGGGCATCCAGTCCAGCCCCTTGTGCTGAGGCAGGACCAAATAAACTTAGGGTATGTCTACACTACGGAATAAGGTCGAATTTATAGAAGTTGGTTTTCTAGAAATCGGTTTTATATATTCGAGTGTGTGTGTCCCCACAGAAAATGCTCTAAGTGCATTAAGTGCATTAACTTGGCGGAGTGCTTCACAGTACCAAGGCAAGCGTCAACTTCCGGAGCATTGCACTGTGGGTAACTATCCCACAGTTCCCGCAGTCTCCGCTGCCCATTGGAATTCTGGGTTGAGATTCCCAATGCCTGATGGGGCTAAAATATTGTCGCGGGTGGTTCTGGGTACATATCATCAGGCCCCCGTTCCCTCCCTCCCTCCCTCCCTCCGTGAAAGCAAGGGCAGACAATCGCTTCGCGCCTTTTTTCCTGCGTTACCTGTGCAGACGCTATACCATGGCAAGCATGGAGCCCGCTCAGGTAACCGTCACCGTATGTCTCCTGGGTGCCGGCAGACGTGGTACGGCATTGCTACACAATAGCAGCAACCCCTTGCCTTGTGGCAGCAGATGGTGTAATATGACTGGTAGCCGTCATCGTCGTGTCCAAGGTGCTCCTGGCCACATCGGCTGGGAGCGTCTGGGCAGACATGGGCGCAGGGACTAAATTTGGAGTGACTTGACCAGGTCATTCTCTTTAGTCCTGCAGTCAGTCCTATTGAACCGTCTTATGGTGAGCAGGCAGGTGATACGGATTGCGAGCAGTCCTATTGCACCGTCTTCTGCTGAGCAGCCATGAGAAGTGGATGGCATGCAGTCCTTCTGCACTGTCTGCTGCTAGCCAAAGATGTAAAAGATAGATGGAGTGGATCAAAACAAGAAATAGACCAGATTTGTTTTGTACTCATTTGCCTCCTCCCCCATCTAGGGGACTCATTCCTCTAGGTCACACTGCAGTCACTCACAGGGAAGGTGCAGCGAGGTAAATCTAGCCGTGTATCAATCAGAGGCCAGACTAACCTCCTTGTTCCAATCAGAACAATAACTTAGGTGCACCATTTCTTATTGGAACCCTCCGTGAAGTCCTGCCTGAAATACTCCTTGATGTAAAGCCACCCCCTTTGTTGATTTTAGCTCCCTGAAGCCAACTCTGAAAGCCGTGTCGTCAATCGCCCCTCCCTCCTTCAGAGCAACGGCAGACAATCGTTCCGCGCCTTTTTTCTGTGCGGACGCCATACCAAGGCAAGCATGGAGGCCGCTCAGCTCACTTTGGCAATTAGGAGCACATTCAACACCACACGCATTATCCAGCAGTATATGCAGCACCAGAACCTGGCAAAGCGATACCGAGCGAGGAGGCGACGTCAGCGCGGTCACGTGAGTGATCAGGACATGGACACATTTTTCTCTGAAAGCATGGGCCCTGCCAACGCATGCATCATGGTGCTAATGGGGCAGGCTCATGCTGTGGAACGCCGATTCTGGGCTGGGGAAACAAGCACAGACTGGTGGGACCGCATAGTGTTGCAGGTCTGGGACGATTCCCAGTGGCTGCGAAACTTTCGCATGCGTAAGGGCACTTTCATGGAACTTTGTGACTTGGGGACCCAGCCTATCCCTTAACGCCATGGCTCATGAAGCCGTACACAGGCATCCTGGGCAGTAGTCAGGAGCTGTTCAACTACAGGCTGAGCAAGTGCAGAATGGTGGTAGAATGTGCATTTGGACGTTTAAAGGCGCGCTGGTGCAGTTTACTGACTCGCTTAGACCTCAGCGAAACCAATATTCCCACTGTTATTACTGCTTGCTGTGTGCTCCACAATATCTGTGAGAGTAAGGAGGAGACGTTTATGGCGGGGTGGGAGGTTGAGGCAAATCGCCTGGCTGCTGGTTACGCGCAGCCAGACACCAGGGCGGTTAGATGAGCACAGGAGGGCGCGGTACACATCAGAGAAGCTTTGAAAACCAGTTTCATGACTGGCCAGGCTACGGTGTGAAAGTTCTGTTTGTTTCTCCTTGATGAACCCCCCCCGCCCCTTTGTTCACTCTACTTCCGTGTAAGCTAACCACCCTCCCCTCCTCCCTTAGATCACCGCTTGCAGAGGCAATAAAGTCATTGTTGCTTCACATTCATGCATTCTTTATTCATTCATCACACAAATAAGGGGATGACTACCAAGGTAGCCCAGGAGGGGTGGTGGAGGAGGGAAGGAAAATGCCACACAGCACTTTAAAAGTTTACAACTTTAAAATTTATTGAATGCCAGCCTTCTTTTCTTTGGGCAATCCTCTGAGGGGGAGTGGCTGGTTGGCCGGAGGCCCCCCCACCGCGTTCTTGGGCGTCTGGGTGTGGAGGCTATGGAACTTGGGGAGGAGGGCGGTTGGTTACACAGGGGCTGTAGTGGCAGTCTGTGCTCCAGCTGCCTTTGCTGCAGCTCAACCATACAGTGGAGCATACTGGTTTGGTCCTCCAGCAGCCTCAGCATTGAATCCTGCCTCCTCTCATCACGCTGCCACCACATTTGAGCTTCAGCCCACCACTTATTCGCTTCAGCCTCCTGGTCATTTTGTGCTTTCCTGCACTCTGACATTATTTGCCTCCACGCATTCGCCTGTGCTCTGTCAGTGCGGGAGGATAGCATGAGCTCGGAGAACATTTCATCTCGAGTGCATTTTTTTTCCTTTCTAATCGTCACTCTGGGAAGGAGAAGCTCCTGTGATCATTGAAACATATGCAGCTGGTGGAGAAAAAAAAAGGGACAACAGTATTTAAAAAGACAAATTTTATAAAACAGTAACTACACTCTTTCAGGGTAAATTTTGCTGTTAACAAAAAGAAAAGGAGTACTTGTGGCACCTTAGAGACTAATCAATTTATTTGAGCATAAACTTTCGTGAGCTGCACCTCACTTCATCGGATGCATACTGTGGAAACTGCAGAAGACATTATATACACAGAGACCATGAAACAATACCTCCTCCCACCCCACTCTCCTGCTGGTAATAGCTTATCTAAAGTGATCACTCTCCTTACAATGTGTATGATAATCAAGTTGGGCCATTTCCAGCACAAATCCAAGTTTTCCCCCCCCCCCCCCCCCCCTCTCCCCCTCCTCCTCCCCCCCTCACTCCTTTTTTTTTTCTCCAGTTTCACACACACCCCCACCTACACAGAGCCCAGCTAAACTGCACAGAGCCAACAAAACGGTTCCTTACACATGGATTATTATGGCATTAAACTGTACTCGTGCTGGATTTCAAGGAATGCCCTGCTCAGCAAGAACTCTGCCCATGTTATTATTATTATGGGCTATTTGTATTACAGTAGCACCTCAAAGCACCACCTGAGATCAAATGCAGCCAAGTAACTTCACCTCTTTGTGCTTCTATATCAGCCTCTAGCCATTGGCAGCTAGGAGGACACTTTCCCTGGGGGGCCACATTACCCCATAGGTCACTGTTGGTGATGGGCTACTGGACTGGGTAGACCAGCGGCCTGATCAGGGTTGGCAAATACCATGTCCTGTAGCAGTCAAACAAAGCTTCTTCTCTCATTCATGCCAACATCCCCAAGCATGCAGAATATACTGACACTCATTTTTTTTTTACTGTGTTTTGTTCTTCACCATTAAAACAATGAAGCCAAAGATGTCTGTGATTGGTTCGGTCACAGAGATCCCCTTGGGACTGTCACCTGATGTGCTTAAATTACCTCTGAGCCCATTTTCCCTGCCAGCTTGGGACGCCAGAACTCCTTGGGACTCCTTGACACACTAGCCTGCTGCAACAAAGGTCCAGGTTCTGGGCCAACCCCCAAAGCTGCAGACTTTAACTAAAAACAGTTCAGCAGGCTACATGTCCCCAGCACCCAGACACCCAGCTCCCAATGGGATCCAAACCCCAAATAAATCTGTTTTACTGTGTATAAAGCTTATACAGGGTAAATTCATAAATTGTTCGCCCTCTATATAAATGATAGAGAGATATGCACAGCTGTTTGCTCCCGCGGGTATTAATCACTTACTCTGGGTTTATTAATAAACAAAAGTAATTTTATTAAGTATAAAAAGTAGAATTTAAGTGGTTTCAAGTAATAACAGAACAGAACAAAGTAAGTCACCAAGCAAAATAAAACAAAACACACAAGTCTAAACCTAATACATTAAGAAACTGATTACAGCTACTATCTCATCCTCAAAGATGTTCCAATAAGCTTCTTTCATAGACTAGACTCCTTCCGAGTCTGGGCCTAATCCTTTCTCCTGGTACAGTCCTTGTTAGTTCCGGTGGTAAGCAGGTGTTTTCTCATGACTAGCAGTCCCCTTTGTCCTGCTACTCCCCCTTTTATGACTTTGGCACAAGGTGGGAATCTTTTGTGTGTGTTTGTCCCCACCCCCACCCCATCAATGGAAAAGTACAAGGATTAAGATGGATTCCAGTATCTACATGTCACTGTAAAACCCCTAGTCTACATTCTTTCTGGGTTGGCCCACACGTACACAGGAAGGTTTGCAGGTAAATAAAACATTTACAACAAATTGTCCTAGTCAATGGGAGCCATCAAGATATTAAACCACCATTAATGGCCCATATTTTGCATAATTACAATAGGACCTCAGAGTTATACTTCATATTTCTAGCTTCAGATACAAGAATGATACGTGCAAACAAATAGGAGGAATAGATTCAGTAGGTTATAACCTTTGTTATGATACCTTAGAAGAGACCTTTTGCATAAAGCATATTCCAGTTACATATTTCCATAAAACATATAGAGTGCAACGTCACAATCTCAATATATAATGCTCCTATTCAAATGAGTTCTAGGATAGAGGGGAAACTTAGAGTAACTCAGTCTATAGAAAAATACAAATGATAAACTATCAGTAGAATATGAAGTGAAGTGTTATTAATTCATTATATGGTTCTGTTTCCTGTTTGGAAGAGGTTTGGATTCCTTCTTGGGTGGTTTAATCCCTATGAAATCGCAGGAAACTCATTAGACTGCTAGAAATATCTGTAAACTCATTAGACTGCTAGAAATATCTGTCTGAATCTTCTGAGCGCTTCATCTCCACCGCTAATTTTTCCCCATGGAAAATTAGCCCAGCCCCAAAGCACCTGTGGAATCGGCACCTATGCAACTGAGTTGCAGGGCCCACCTTTTATACTTACTGTCCTGCCCCTCTGCTTCTGGCAGGGCAGGCGTGGCTTGCCTGGCCCAGCCCACCGGTGGTTTCCTTCCCACCAGTCTCGGAAGAAGGCCATGTCCCCTTGCTTCAGAGACACTAAAGGAGCTAAAATGAATGCATGGTTCTAAAATATTCAGGGAGGGAATTCTGATGAGACATTTGTGGTCTATTTCTTCTGCTGCTGTTAATGTAGCATGTCTATATATATATATATATATATATATATATATATATATATATATATATAAAAATCAGATTAGAATAAGGCTAGTGATAGCTGAAAGAACTAATTTCTAACTGTAACATCCACATTTCCAGCAGAAAGTTCACTTTATGCAATGTGTTTCAGGATGAGAGGAAATTCAGTGTAGCAGAGAAAGATATAACACAATCCAAAGGGTAGAAATTGAAGGTAGATAAATTCTGACTGGATATAAAGTATAAATTTTTCATGGTGTGAGTAATTAACTTTTGGAACAATTTACTGAAGGGTGTGGTGGATTCTCTGTCACTGACAATTTTTAAATCAAGATTGGATATTTTTCTACAAGAAATTATAGAATCATAGAATATCAGAGTTGGAAGGGAGCTCTGGAGGTCATCTAGTCCAACCCCCTACCCAGAGCAGGACCAATCCCTACTAAATCATCCCAGCCAGGGCTTTGTCAAGCCTGACCTTAAAAGCTTCTAAGGAAGGGGATTCCACCACTTCCCTAGGTAACGCATTCCAGTGTTTCACCACCCTCCTAGTAAAAAAGTTTTTCCTAATATCCAACCTAAACCCTTCCCCCCCGCGACTTGAGACCATTACTCCTTGTTCTGTCATCTGCTACCACTGAGAACAGTCTAGATCCATCCTCTTTGGAACCCCCTTTCAGGTAGTTGAAAGCAGCTATCAAATCCCCCCTCATTCTTCTCTTCCGCAGACTAAACAATCCCAGTTCCCTCAGCCTCTCCTCGTAAGTTATGTGTTCCAGTCCCCTAATCATTTTTATTGCCCTCCGCTGGATGCTTTCCAATTTTTTCACATCCTTCTTGTAGTGTGGGGCCCAAAACTGGACACGGTACTCCAGATGAGGCCTCACCAATGTCGAATAGAGGGGAAGATCACATCCCTCGTTCTGCTGTCGAATAGAGGGGAAGATCACATCCCTCGTTCTGCTGGCAATGCCCCTACTTATACAGTCCAAAATGCCGTTAACCTTCTTGGCAACAAGGGCTCACTGTTGACTCATATGCAGCTTCTCGTCCACTGTAACCCGTAGGGCTTTTTCTCCAGAACTGCTGCCTAGCCATTCGGTCCCTAGTCTGTAGCGGTGCAAGGGATTCTTCCATCCTAAATGCAGGACTCTGCATTTGTCCTTGTTGAACCTCATCAGAATCCATAAGTGCTGCACTTAAACTGAAATTCACTAATGTGAGGACCTCTTAAGTCTCATGTAAGGCCTATTTTACCTGGAAATTAGCTGATGCACTGGTGTTGTGCTGACCTTGTGCAAAGGAGTGAATTTCACCCAAGCAGAGGATTTTAGTCCTGTGATCAGAAGATGTGAGCGGTTTGGTGACATCCTCTGTGAGGGCTTCAGTCCTGTGTGAGGAATGTAGAGTTAAAGGGACCCATTGTCTCTGTTCATCATTGAACCCATGAATCCCCCTGGCTTTGCCGGGGATGCTTGGAAACACTGCAGACAGACTGAGGCTTTTGGTGAGCATTTTGGAGAGGTGATAGCTTCTCCCAAGCTATTGGTGCCAGGCTCAGCATTAAGGTTGATTTCTTTTTCGTTAGCTCCTTTTGTTACAGCAAAAAGAAAGGGGAGAGAGAGCCTCATGCGTTCACATTTTTAGGGACATCTAGTACTTTTTTTGAAAATATTGATGAATTTGAAGAAGGGCTTTGTGAGATTAAAGAACACGGAAACAAGGTAGAATATTGAATTCTAAAAGATGGTCTCTTTTTGCCTTAAATTTGGTATGGGTCTTCTCTGATTCTTTCATATGAATATTCCTTTCTCTAATGGCTCGAGGAGGAAATATTCTTTCTGATATCTAATCTACTTGCGTCATTTCTTAATTCCAGCTTCTGTCTTAATGGTATGCCTCTATCCGGAGTCTGAAAAAGTTCCGTCTTTACATTTCTTTCCCTTCTGTAGATTTTTACTTGCTTTTAGGCCCTGATCTAGCAACGTACTTAAGCATGTCCTTAACTTTAAGCATATGTGTAGTCCCAATTCATAGGGACTACTTGTGTGCTTAAAATTAAGCTTGTGGATAAGTGCTTGGTCTGATTAGGGCCTAAAGCCCTTCTATATCATAATTAGAGCACTGATTTCCTTTCCTTTCCTTTATTTTATTTTATTTTATTTGGTCTTGCAATTGATGTGCTTTTCTCTGAACTGGGTCTCCTGGTTACACCACCACCATAGGGGCACTCTCCTGTTTCACAGAATGTAGACACAAAGATGGGGCTTGCTCTGAAACAGCTGACTCTCCTTCTTCATGGATCATCAACATAGAAAAGCAGTTGCCAAGCTCTCTCCAAATCTTCAGTGTCCCTCCCCTCTTGAGCAGTCTGGAAAGCTAGAGAGCCACAGTCACCTGCTTATCCAGCAGGTGGCAGACTATTGTATAGCAAGCACTAGCCTGAAATGTCTCTGAATTCTGGTAGAATACGTGACATTGGACAGACAGTGCTTTATGTGTAACAGATAGGTGACGCTTCTCACGCCCAGTTTAATCAGTTACACAGAGAATTGATGGGATTCTGCAATCTTCTCTGTGATAGTAATTACTTTTTACAGTATTTATAGTTCAGTAGCACCTCGGCACCCGTTGCATGGACCCAAGAATTGCTGTGCCAGGTGCTTTATGAACACAGCTTCTTCTCATTTCAGCTGTGAGCAATCAGTCAGATTCAGAAGCGCCCTCCACCCGAAAAGCCTGAAGGTGTGCACTGAAGAGGGCCTTGCTACCGGAATAAACCAGGGAACCAGTAACCAGCCATGCCACTGCTGTGTCTAGCAGTGGGATAAGGAGACCAAAAGCTGAGGAGGCTCCCGAGACATCCACAGCACCAGCCGTTCCTGTCTTTTCATTTCAGCAGCAGTGATCCAAGAGTGCACTAAAAAGGGCTTTGTTGGCAAAGGCAGGTGGGAAGGAGAACAGAAGCCACTGTGCTGCACTCACGAGGGGAAGGGAGACTGGCAAAGAGTGGAGAGCACTCCAAAGGCTAACATTACAGCAAGGACACTTGTTGCAAAGAAAGACTGGTATTTTTACAAAATTTCCTGCAAAGCATTTTCCTTAAGATCATAAATAACCGACTCAAAACCATGCTTGTCAGATCAAGAGAGCACGTCTTGGGCTGCATTATCCTTGCTTCTTTGCTTGCTTCCTTAGCTTGAGGGTAGCAAAGGACTAGCCAAGCCAGCTCTGTGCCAGCTAGGGATTTCACCAGGCCCACGGCATTCCCAGCCATTGGCAGCTTTGTGATTAGGCTGGCAGGATGAAGGAGCCAGAGGATTTGGTCTATATTGTTTGGACTTGGCTTAGGCTGAATAATGGTAACCCTGTGTCTCCCTGCCTTGCCCCCCCTCCAAGTCCCTCCAAACTATGCTGAATTGTCTCTGAACATGTATGAGAGAGTCACCATGGGGCCCAGGCCCCAGGCAGGTGGACTGGTCCAATCCATGGGGGGGGGGGGCGCCTTTTTTCCTGCGTTACCTGTGCAGACGCTATACCATGGCAAGCATGGAGCCCGCTCAGGTAACCGTCACCGTATGTCTCCTGGGTGCTGGCAGACGTGGTACGGCATTGCTACACAGTAGCAGCAACCCCTTGCCTTGTGGCAGCAGATGGTGTAATATGACTGGTAGCCGTCATCGTCGTGTCCGAGGTGCTCCTGGCCACATCGGCTGGGAGCGTCTGGGCAGACATGGGCGCAGGGACTAAATTTGGAGTGACTTGACCAGGTCATTCTCTTTAGCCCTGCAGTCAGTCCTATTGAACCGTCTTATGGTGAGCAGGCAGGTGATACGGATTGCGAGCAGTCCTATTGCACCGTCTTCTGCTGAGCAGCCATGAGAAGTGGATGGCATGCAGTCCTTCTGCACTGTCTGCTGCTAGCCAAAGATGTAAAAGATAGATGGAGTGGATCAAAACAAGAAATAGACCAGATTTGTTTTGTACTCATTTGCCTCCTCCCCCATCTAGGGGACTCATTCCTCTAGGTCACACTGCAGTCACTCACAGGGAAGGTGCAGCGAGGTAAATCTAGCCGTGTATCAATCAGAGGCCAGACTAACCTCCTTGTTCCAATCAGAACAATAACTTAGGTGCACCATTTCTTATTGGAACCCTCCGTGAAGTCCTGCCTGAAATACTCCTTGATGTAAAGCCACCCCCTTTGTTGATTTTAGCTCCCTGAAGCCAACCCTGTAAGCCGTGTCGTCAATCGCCCCTCCCTCCTTCAGAGCAACGGCAGACAATCGTTCCGCGCCTTTTTTCTGTGCGGACGCCATACCAAGGCAAGCATGGAGGCCGCTCAGCTCACTTTGGCAATTAGGAGCACATTCAACACCACACGCATTATCCAGCAGTATATGCAGCACCAGAACCTGGCAAAGCGATACCGAGCGAGGAGGCGACGTCAGCGCGGTCACGTGAGTGATCAGGACATGGACACATTTTTCTCTGAAAGCATGGGCCCTGCCAATGCATGCATCATGGTGCTAATGGGGCAGGCTCATGCTGTGGAACGCCGATTCTGGGCTCGGGAAACAAGCACAGACTGGTGGGACCGCATAGTGTTGCAGGTCTGGGACGATTCCCAGTGGCTGCGAAACTTTCGCATGCGTAAGGGCACTTTCATGGAACTTTGTGACTTGCTTTCCCCTGCCCTGAAGCGCATGAATACCAGGATGAGAGCAGCCCTCACAGTTGAGAAGTGAGTGGCGAGAGCCCTGTGGAAGCTTGCAACGCCAGACAGGTACCGGTCAGTTGGGAATCAATTTGGAGTGGGCAAATCTACTGTTGGGGCTGCTGTGATGCAAGTATCCCACACAATCAAAGATCTGCTGATATCAAGGGTAGTGACCCTGGGAAATGTGCAGGTCATAGTGGATGGCTTTGCTGCAATGGGATTCCCTAACTGTGGTGGGGCCATAGACGGAACCCATATCCCTAGCTTGGCACCGGAGCACCAAGCCGCCGAGTACATAAACCGCAAGGGGTACTTTTCAATAGTGCTGCAAGCTCTGGTGGATCACAAGGGACGTTTCACCAGCATCAACGTGCGATGGCCGGGAAAGGTACATGACGCTCGCATCTTCAGGAACTCTGGTCTGTTTCAAAAGCTGCAGGAAGGGACTTCATTCCCAGGCTGGAAAATAACTGTTGGGGATGTTGAAATGCCTATAGTTATCCTTGGGGACCCAGCCTATCCCTTAACGCCATGGCTCATGAAGCCGTACACAGGCACCCTGGGCAGTAGTCAGGAGCTGTTCAACTACAGGCTGAGCAAGTGCAGAATGGTGGTAGAATGTGCATTTGGACGTTTAAAGGCGCGCTGGCGCACTTTACTGACTCGCTTAGACCTCAGCGAAACCAATATTCCCACTGTTATTACAGCTTGCTGTGTGCTCCACAATATCTGTGAGAGTAAGGGGGAGACGTTTATGGTGGGGTGGGAGGTTGAGGCAAATCGCCTGGCTGCTGGTTACGCGCAGCCAGACACCAGGGTGGTTAGAAGAGCACAGGAGGGCGCGGTACGCATCAGAGAAGCTTTGAAAACCAGTTTCATGACTGGCCAGGCTACGGTGTGAAAGTTCTGTTTGTTTCTCCTTGATGAAACCCCCCGCCCCTTGGTTCACTCTACTTCCCTGTAAGCTAACCACCCTCCCCTCCTCCCTTAGATCACCGCTTGCAGAGGCAATAAAGTCATTGTTGCTTCACATTCATGCATTCTTTATTCATTCATCACACAAATAAGGGGATGACTACCAAGGTAGCCCAGGAGGGGTGGTGGAGGAGGGAAGGAAAATGCCACACAGCACTTTAAAAGTTTACAACTTTAAAATTTATTGAATGCCAGCCTTCTTTTCTTTGGGCAATCCTCTGAGGGGAGAGTGGCTGGTTGGCCGGAGGCCCCCCCACCGCGTTCTTGGGCGTCTGGGTGTGGAGGCTATGGAACTTGGGGAGGAGGGCGGTTGGTTACACAGGGGCTGTAGTGGCAGTCTGTGCTCCAGCTGCCTTTGCTGCAGCTCAACCATACAGTGGAGCATACTGGTTTGGTCCTCCAGCAGCCTCAGCATTGAATCCTGCCTCCTCTCATCACGCTGCCACCACATTTGAGCTTCAGCCCACCACTTATTCGCTTCAGCCTCCTGGTCATTTTGTGCTTTCCTGCACTCTGACATTATTTGCCTCCACGCATTCGCCTGTGCTCTGTCAGTGCGGGAGGATAGTATGAGCTCGGAGAACATTTCATCTCGAGTGCATTTTTTTTCCTTTCTAATCGTCACTCTGGGAAGGAGAAGCTCCTGTGATCATTGAAACACATGCAGCTGGTGGAGAAAAAAAAAGGGACAGCAGTATTTAAAAAGACAAATTTTATAAAACAGTAACTACACTCTTTCAGGGTAAATCTTGCTGTTAACAAAAAGAAAAGGAGTACTTGTGGCACCTTAGAGACTAATCAATTTATTTGAGCATAAACTTTCGTGAGCTACAGTTCACTTCATTGGATGCATACTGTGGAAACTGCAGAAGACATTATATACACAGAGACCATGAAACAATACCTCCTCCCACCCCACTCTCCTGCTGGTAATAGCTTATCTAAAGTGATCACTCTCCTTACAATGTGTATGATAATCAAGATGGACCATTTCCAGCACAAATCCAAGTTTTCTCACACACACCCCCACCTACACAGAGCCCAGCTAAACTGCACAGAGCCAACAAAACGGTTCCTTACACATGGATTATTATGGCATTAAACTGTACTCGTGCTGGATTTCAAGGAACGCCCTGCTCAGCAAGAACTCTGCCCATGTTATTATTATTATGGGCTATTTGTATTACAGTAGCACCTCGAAGCACCACCTGAGATCAAATGCAGCCAAGTAACTTCACCTCTTTGTGCTTCTATATCAGCCTCTAGCCATTGGCAGCTAGGAGGACACTTTCCCTGGGGGGGCCACATTACCCCATAGGTCACTGTTGGTGATGGGCTACTGGACTGGGTAGACCAGCGGCCTGATCAGGGTTGGCAAATACCATGTCCTGTAGCAGTCAAACAAAGCTTCTTCTCTCATTCATGCCAACATCCCCAAGCATGCAGAATATACTGACACTCATTTTTTTTTTACTGTGTTTTGTTCTTCACCATTAAAACAATGAAGCCAAAGATGTCTGTGATTGGTTCGGTCACAGAGATCCCCTTGGGACTGTCACCTGATGTGCTTAAATTACCTCTGAGCCCATTTTCCCTGCCAGCTTGGGACGCCAGAACTCCTTGGGACTCCTTGACACACTAGCCTGCTGCAACAAAGGTCCAGGTTCTGGGCCAACCCCCAAAGCTGCAGACTTTAACTAAAAACAGTTCAGCAGGCTACATGTCCCCAGCACCCAGACACCCAGCTCCCAATGGGATCCAAACCCCAAATAAATCTGTTTTACTGTGTATAAAGCTTATACAGGGTAAATTCATAAATTGTTCGCCCTCTATATAAATGATAGAGAGATATGCACAGCTGTTTGCTCCCGCGGGTATTAATCACTTACTCTGGGTTTATTAATAAACAAAAGTAATTTTATTAAGTATAAAAAGTAGAATTTAAGTGGTTTCAAGTAATAACAGAACAGAACAAAGTAAGTCACCAAGCAAAATAAAACAAAACACACAAGTCTAAACCTAATACATTAAGAAACTGATTACAGCTACTATCTCATCCTCAAAGATGTTCCAATAAGCTTCTTTCATAGACTAGACTCCTTCCGAGTCTGGGCCTAATCCTTTCTCCTGGTACAGTCCTTGTTAGTTCCGGTGGTAAGCAGGTGTTTTCTCATGACTAGCAGCCCCTTTGTCCTGCTACTCCCCCTTTTATGACTTTGGCACAAGGTGGGAATCTTTTGTGTGTGTTTGTCCCCACCCCCACCCCATCAATGGAAAAGTACAAGGATTAAGATGGATTCCAGTATCTACATGTCACTGTAAAACCCCTAGTCTACATTCTTTCTGGGTTGGCCCACACGTACACAGGAAGGTTTGCAGGTAAATAAAACATTTACAACAAATTGTCCTAGTCAATGGGAGCCATCAAGATATTAAACCACCATTAATGGCCCATATTTTGCATAATTACAATAGGACCTCAGAGTTATACTTCATATTTCTAGCTTCAGATACAAGAATGATACGTGCAAACAAATAGGAGGAATAGATTCAGTAGGTTATAACCTTTGTTATGATACCTTAGAAGAGACCTTTTGCATAAAGCATATTCCAGTTACATATTTCCATAAAACATATAGAGTGCAACGTCACAATCTCAATATATAATGCTCCTATTCAAATGAGTTCTAGGATAGAGGGGAAACTTAGAGTAACTCAGTCTATAGAAAAATACAAATGATAAACTATCAGTAGAATATGAAGTGAAGTGTTATTAATTCATTATATGGTTCTGTTTCCTGTTTGGAAGAGGTTTGGATTCCTTCTTGGGTGGTTTAATCCCTATGAAATCGCAGGAAACTCATTAGACTGCTAGAAATATCTGTAAACTCATTAGACTGCTAGAAATATCTGTCTGAATCTTCTGAGCGCTTCATCTCCACCGCTAATTTTTCCCCATGGAAAATTAGCCCAGCCCCAAAGCACCTGTGGAATCGGCACCTATGCAACTGAGTTGCAGGGCCCACCTTTTATACTTACTGTCCTGCCCCTCTGCTTCTGGCAGGGCAGGCGTGGCTTGCCTGGCCCAGCCCACCGGTGGTTTCCTTCCCACCAGTCTCGGAAGAAGGCCATGTCCCCTTGCTTCAGAGACACTAAAGGAGCTAAAATGAATGCATGGTTCTAAAATATTCAGGGAGGGAATTCTGATGAGACATTTGTGGTCTATTTCTTCTGCTGCTGTTAATGTAGCATGTCTATATATATATATATATATATATATATATATATATATTTTTTTTTTTTTAAAAAAAATCAGATTAGAATAAGGCTAGTGATAGCTGAAAGAACTAATTTCTAACTGTAACATCCACATTTCCAGCAGAAAGTTCACTTTATGCAATGTGTTTCAGGATGAGAGGAAATTCAGTGTAGCAGAGAAAGATATAACACAATCCAAAGGGTAGAAATTGAAGGTAGATAAATTCTGACTGGATATAAAGTATAAATTTTTCATGGTGTGAGTAATTAACTTTTGGAACAATTTACTGAAGGGTGTGGTGGATTCTCTGTCACTGACAATTTTTAAATCAAGATTGGATATTTTTCTACAAGAAATTATAGAATCATAGAATATCAGAGTTGGAAGGGAGCTCTGGAGGTCATCTAGTCCAACCCCCTACCCAGAGCAGGACCAATCCCTACTAAATCATCCCAGCCAGGGCTTTGTCAAGCCTGACCTTAAAAGCTTCTAAGGAAGGGGATTCCACCACTTCCCTAGGTAACGCATTCCAGTGTTTCACCACCCTCCTAGTAAAAAAGTTTTTCCTAATATCCAACCTAAACCCTTCCCCCCCGACTTGAGACCATTACTCCTTGTTCTGTCATCTGCTACCACTGAGAACAGTCTAGATCCATCCTCTTTGGAACCCCCTTTCAGGTAGTTGAAAGCAGCTATCAAATCCCCCCTCATTCTTCTCTTCCGCAGACTAAACAATCCCAGTTCCCTCAGCCTCTCCTCGTAAGTTATGTGTTCCAGTCCCCTAATCATTTTTATTGCCCTCCGCTGGATGCTTTCCAATTTTTTCACATCCTTCTTGTAGTGTGGGGCCCAAAACTGGACACGGTACTCCAGATGAGGCCTCACCAATGTCGAATAGAGGGGAAGATCACATCCCTCGTTCTGCTGTCGAATAGAGGGGAAGATCACATCCCTCGTTCTGCTGGCAATGCCCCTACTTATACAGTCCAAAATGCCGTTAACCTTCTTGGCAACAAGGGCTCACTGTTGACTCATATGCAGCTTCTCGTCCACTGTAACCCGTAGGGCTTTTTCTCCAGAACTGCTGCCTAGCCATTCGGTCCCTAGTCTGTAGCGGTGCAAGGGATTCTTCCATCCTAAATGCAGGACTCTGCATTTGTCCTTGTTGAACCTCATCAGAATCCATAAGTGCTGCACTTAAACTGAAATTCACTAATGTGAGGACCTCTTAAGTCTCATGTAAGGCCTATTTTACCTGGAAATTAGCTGATGCACTGGTGTTGTGCTGACCTTGTGCAAAGGAGTGAATTTCACCCAAGCAGAGGATTTTAGTCCTGTGATCAGAAGATGTGAGCGGTTTGGTGACATCCTCTGTGAGGGCTTCAGTCCTGTGTGAGGAATGTAGAGTTAAAGGGACCCATTGTCTCTGTTCATCATTGAACCCATGAATCCCCCTGGCTTTGCCGGGGATGCTTGGAAACACTGCAGACAGACTGAGGCTTTTGGTGAGCATTTTGGAGAGGTGATAGCTTCTCCCAAGCTATTGGTGCCAGGCTCAGCATTAAGGTTGATTTCTTTTTCGTTAGCTCCTTTTGTTACAGCAAAAAGAAAGGGGAGAGAGAGCCTCATGCGTTCACATTTTTAGGGACATCTAGTACTTTTTTTGAAAATATTGATGAATTTGAAGAAGGGCTTTGTGAGATTAAAGAACACGGAAACAAGGTAGAATATTGAATTCTAAAAGATGGTCTCTTTTTGCCTTAAATTTGGTATGGGTCTTCTCTGATTCTTTCATATG